GTTCGAAGATTGTTTGAGGATAAATTAGATAATTTAAAAGTTATTCCCTAAAATGTAAGAAAAGTACGTCAAATAAAATTTCATTACTAAAAACTTAAATGCAATGAAATGTATGGTACATTTTTTTTACATTTTAGTACTTAACTTTAAAAATATCTTAGTTATCTTAAAACTATCTTAGAACAGCTTAAAGATAAATAAATTATCTACATTTCTATTATATGTTATATTCTTCTAAAATAGTTTCTTGATATTAATAATAATATAAAATTATTGATATTAACAATATTATTTAATTAAATATTGATATTAATAATAATAAAATAAAAAATATTTATATCTCAAATTTACCTTTCAGAGTTCTAGAATCTATCATTTTTTTATATAATTTTTATATTAGACAAGTGGTACATTTTTTACATTTTTATTCATATTTTCTAAATTATATAATTTATCTTAGAACTGTCTTTTGTAAATTTATATATCATAAAATTATCTACATTTTTTGCTAATATTATATATTTGTATATTTATTAATTAATTTTATAAAAATTATTAATAACTATTGTATAAACTTTATACTTTATACTATAAAGAATGTATTTATAGACGGGACGCTGAAGGTACATTTTTTATAAAATTTGGTAATATAACTTTTAAAATATTTAAGTTATCTAAAAACGATCTTAGACAAATTTTTAGATAATTAAATTATCTACATATATGTCTAATATTATATGTAGGTTAAATAAAATTTCGTTACTAAAAAATAGATTCATTTACAACCTATATATAGTTGTAATATAAATATTAGGTTGTCAAATATCTCCCTTCCGCTTTTTTGCTCTTGGTTTATAATACAAAAAGGCGGAAGGGAGATATTTGACAACCTAATATATTCACTTCGGAATTTGTGGTACATTTTTGACACTTAGTTCGATAACTTTTAAATTATCTAAATTATTTAAATACGATCTAGCACAAATTTTTATATTAATAAATTATCAACGTTTCGCTTCATCTAACATTATATGTAGGTTAAATGAAATTTCATTACTAAAAAATACATTTTTTACAACCTTAATTAATATACCTCGAAATGTACGGTACATTTTTTACATTTTATTGGATAACTCTTAAATTATCTAAGTTATCTGAAAACGAACTTTGACAAATTTTTAGATAATTAAATTATCTACATTTTTGTCTAACACTATATGTAGGTTAAATGAAATTTCATTACTAAAAATACATTTAATTACAACCTATTTTATGCCAGACCAGTATTTTTAAAGTTTTGGGCAAAAATATACAAAAGTGTACCAGGACGTACCTTAGACTTGGCTACATTGTCTACATTTCAATTTGAGTTTACAGTATTAATTTATAATTTTATGTATATACATTATTAGGGAGATTCGTGGCAAATTTTGTTGGCTATACAGTGGTTTTGGACAATTTTCTGCTAGACAAATATTTTAAGAGTTATGTGCATTATTATATCAAAGTATTCCACGATGTACCTTAGGTTTGGATACATTGGCTACATTCTAACTACAATTTGTGAGATTTTAGATGACTTTAACTATGTACAATGTTTGGGGGATTTGTGGCAAATTGTATTGGCTATACAGTGATTTTGGACAAATTTCTGCTAGACAAATATTTTTAGAGTTATGTGCATTATAATAAAAAAGTATACCACGACGTACCTTAGGCTTGGATACATTGTCTACATTTTAACCACAATTTGCAAGACTATAAATGACTTTAACTATATACATTGTTTGAGAGATTCATGGTAAATTTTATTGGCAATGAAGTGGTTTTGGACAAAATTTTGCCAGATAAATATTTTTAGAGTTATGGACAAAAATATAGGAACATTTATCATGATGTACCTTGGCTTGGCTACATTGTCCACATTTTCTGTATCATTTATAAAATTATTGAATAACTGTATGTATATACATTGTTAGGGAAATTCATGGCAAATTGTATTGGCTATAAAGTGGTTTTGGACAAATTTCTGCTAGACTAGTATTTTAAGAGTTCTGGACAAAAATATAGGAACATTTATCATGATGTACCTTGGCTTGGCTACATTGTCCACATTTTTAGTTTCATTTATAAAGTTCATAAATAATTTTATGTATATACATTGTTAGGAAAATTCGTAGACAATTTTATATTGTATGCAATGGTTTTACACAATTTTCTTATAAACTAATATTTTAAGAGTGCTTGGTATAATATATAAAAAATGTACTACAACGTTGCTTGCACTTGACTACATAGTCAACATTTCAATTACAGTTTACAATATCAATTTATAATTTTATGCACAAACATTATTAAGATAATATGTAGACAATTTAACAGTCTAAAAAGTTCCCAAAGACAAGTTTTCTACCAAACTAATATTTAAAGAGTTCTCTGAATAAATATAAAAAAATGTACCACAAAATTTTTAAGTCTTGTTAAGAACCAACTAACTAAATCATATTATATTATTTATTACCTTTACATAAATACTGTATTAGATATATACGTGTGTATATATATATGTGTGTTCGTGACAAATGTTGTAAACTCCAAATTCTTGTACGTTTTTAGAATAATTTGTTAAACAAATAATTCGAATTCCTATTTTTTTTTCTATTCAAATCGCGCGCTGACATTCCAACACAACATTGACCTTATAAAATAGACGGAGAGCTGGTGACATATTTTTATTTAACAAACTTTATTATTATCAATATATATATATATATATATATATATATATAAAGTTTCTAATTTATAATGCATTTTAGTCTGATTGACAGTAGAATCCTTTTGACTTGGAATTATGAATTTGTGTTTGATTATCAGTAGAGTCCCTGTATGTTCAGTAAGGAATTTTAGTTTGATCATCATTAGAGTCCTTTTTAGAACAAATAAATGTTTTTTTTTCTTAAAAATGTGAAAAAAAGTAAGTAAGCACATTCTAAGCGCCAACCTTTAACAAATTTATTAGCAAATGTGTTTAGATTGTGACTTTACCGGAGCACTTTTTTGATTTTGCTTAAAATTATGCAAAATAAATATTAAAATTATTAACTTGAAATTTAATCTAGGATTTAAAAAAGGGACTCTACTGACGAGCAAACTTAAAATTCGATCTAGAATTTAAAAAAAGGGACTCTACTGACGAGCAAACTTAAAATTTGATCTAGAATTTAGAAAAAAGGACTCTACTGACGAGCAAACTTGAAGTTTAATCTAGAATTTAAAAAAGGGACTTTACTGACGAGCAAACTTGAAGTTTAATCTAGATTTTTTTAAAAAGGGACTCTACTGACGAGCAAACTTAAAATATGATCTAAAAAATTGCAAAAAGGGACTCTACTGACGAGCAAACTTAAAATTTAATCTAGATTTTTTTAAAAAGGGACTCTACTGACGAGCGAACTTAAAATTTAATCTAGATTTTTTTAAAAAGGGACTCTACTGACGAGCAAACTTAAAATTTTATCTAAAAAATTACAAAAAGAGACTCTACTGACGAGCAAGTTTAAAATTTGATCTAGAATTTTTGAAAAGAGACTCTATTGACGAGCAAACTTAAAATTTGATCTTGAACATAAAAAGCAACATTATTAAAATATCATAATTAAAGAAAGGACTCTACTAGCAAACTAAATATCAATTTTAAAAATATATTAATCAATAAAATTTTATTAGCAAAGTTCTAATATAATATTCTTATTAAAAATTAATTTGCTCGTCAGTAGAGTTCGTTTTAAAAAAAATATTTTGGTAGAATTTTTTCAAATATTGCAGATAAAAATATTACAGTGAAGCATAGTCTAAGCGCCACTCTGGTACAAATGTTCACCCAAGTGCGTTTAGCATGTGACTTCAGAACTTTTGCAATTTTGTGAAAATTAGCGAAAAATGTAAAAAAGTCGCCAAGCTAAGCACAGTATAAATGAAAATGTCGCACAGAATTATTTGCAAATGCGTTTAGACTGTGACTGTACTGGAGCACTTTTTCAATTTTGTCAAAATTAGTGCAAACTATTTTTTTAGTAAAAAAAAATGTGAAAATTTACCCAGACTACTAGGCACAGTCTAAGTGACAACCTCAAACAAATTTATTCGAAAGTGCGTTTAGATTGTGACTAGATTTTCTAATTTTATAAAATTAATCAAAATATGAGAAAATGTAACCAGCAGATATCTTTAGTTTACTAGATATTCAAATTTAAACATTTTTTTAAATAAAATTTTGTTCTAAGAGTTATAAATTGTTATATACAGAATTGTAGATAATTTTATTAGCTTTCTCATGATGTATAATAAAATACACATGTTTGAACAAATTACTCAAGAAATTTGAAAAAATATAAAGAAATGTCAAAAAAAAATTCCATATAAAAGCGAAAGAGAGAGATAGAGCGATACAGATTGTGAGAGTTAGAAAGAGAAAGAAATAAAGCTAAATACATAGAGTGGAAAATGGGACTCTATACCCATGAAAAGAACAAATTCAAAGTTTAGCAATATTTTTCTATACAATTATGTTTGAAAAGTTATTAAATGTGGTATACAGATATGTAGATAATTTTATTAGCTTTCTAGTGATATATAATATTATAGACATGTTTGAACAAACTATTAACAAAAACTATCAAAATATAAAAAAAATCAATCACCAAAAATCTTATTAGTTTATCATAAATGACGTATTCAATTATGAGGTTAAAACAATTTTTTGAAAATAATTTTGTTCCAAAAGTTACAAATTGTTATATACAGATTTGTAGATAATTTTATTAGCTTTCTAACGATATATAATAATGTATATGTGTTTGAACAAATTGTTTAAGAAACTTGAAAGATTTATAGTTCATTTATTTACTTCTTGTTACACCGACGCCCTCACTATTGCTTCTTTGTGCGCTCCAAGAAAGTAGTTTTCGTCGACTGTCAAAATAATTGTTGTAAAAATGCATATGTGCAAAACTAGGACACAAAAATGTTTATAAACAATTACGAAACGTATAAATAATTATTTGCAATAACACTGTGCGCTTTTCGTAAGCAAAATCTAACAAAAATAATCAAAAACCATAAAAATTGTCCTGAACAAATTGTGCAATTGATAAATGAATTATGAGAAGAATTTAGCAAAATAATGAAGGAATGCGTTATAAAATGAAAAATAATGAAGAAATAATGGATAATAAACCATTAGTCACTTGTAAGTAGAAAAAAATAACTTTAAATTTTGTACATTTAAGTTTTTTGAAGTGTACATAACCTCAATCTGTGTGCTACTTTTGTAAATTTACCAAAATTGGGATAAATATTACTTAAAGCTTAAAATGGGGTAAATATTACTTAAATATACTTGCAATAGTGAATAAGAGTATTTTTATCTAGTTTTAATTAAATTTTAAGTAATTTTATACTAATTGGTGTTTTTGGGGGTGTACATAACCTCAAAGTATATGACACTTTGTTAAATTTAAGTTTAATTGCAAAATTTGTATTAAATTTGTATTAAATGTACTCACAATAGTATTTAATAGTATTTTTAAGTATATTTAAGTGTATTTGCATAAGTTTAAAGTATTTTTTTACCAAAATGTTTTATTTAGTGGTACATAACCTCAAAATGTATGAATTTTGTTGAATTTCAGAATATTTATAATTTAAGCGTTAATTTAGTGTTAAATGTACTTATAATAGTGTTTAATAGTATATTTAAGTATATTTAAGTATATTTAGGTATATTTGCACTTATTTAAACCATATTTTAAGTCACACATAACCCCAAAATGTATGACACTTTGTTACATTTATAAATATTTTGAAAATTTGTATTAAATTAGTATCAAATGTACTTGCAAAATGTTTTAATATAATATTTACTTAGTTTTAAGTATATTTGCATAAGTTTAAAGTATTCTTTTACTAATTTGTGGTTTAAGTCACACATAACCTCAAAGTGGATGACACTTTGTTACTTTTAAGTTTAATTGTAAAATTAGTGTTTAATTAGTATTTAAGGTACTTGCAAAATGTTTTAATATCAATTTTATTTAGTTTTAAGTATATTTGCGCTTATTTTAAGTATTCTTTTACTAATTTGTGGTTTCAAGTCACAAATAACTTTTTGAACCTCAAAAAGTGTGACACTTTGTTAGTTTTAAGATTATTTAAGATATTAGTGTTAATTTAAGGCTAAATGTACTTGCAAAATGTCCTACAATGTTTTGTTTATATATATTTGTATTTATTTATAACATTTTTGTTTAAATTTGCTTAAAAAATCTGGTATCGACTGGGTTTTGTATGTACTGTATTGATTTGTTGAATTTAGGAGGTTTTGTGTGGATAAATGTGGAAATATAAGTTTGTAGATGATGTAAAAGATATTGTAGATGCTCTGTAAAGTTTGTAGATACTTTATTTGCTTTAAAAATGTCCAAAAAATGTCCAAAAAATTATTTTTTTTGTATAAAATGTCAAAAGGAGCAAAGAAATGTGTTATTGAGAGTCTCTTGTGTGTATTTACTAAGTTTACTAAGTTTCGAGGCTTTTGTGTGTCTAAATGTTATTAGATAATGTTATAAAATGATGTAGATACTTGTAAATTGATAATTTTGCATAAATTTTGTGTAAAATGTGTAAATATGCCTAAAAATGCTAAAAAATAGTGTTATCGACTGGATTTTAGGAGTAATGTATAGATTTGTTGAGTTTTGGAAGTTTTGTTTAGATAAATGTTATATAAATGATACAAAACATATTGTGTAGATGCTCTGTAAAGTTTGTAGATACTTTATTTGCTTTAAAAATGTTCAAAAAATGTTTAAAAAATGTCCAAAAATGATTTTTCTTGTGTAAAATATCAAAACAAGCAAAGAAAAGTGTTTTTGAGAGCCTTTTGTGTGTATTTATAACATTTACAAGCTTTTGTATCTCTAAATCTTATAGGATATTTTTGTAGATACTTGTTAGATGCTCCAGATATTATTTTATCTAAAATATTGCAAAAATTTTGTGTAAAATGTGTAAAAATGCCTAAAAAATGGTTTATTGACTGAATTTTGTATGTAAAGTATATATTTACAAAGTTTAAGAGCTTTTGTTTGCATAAATGTTATCAAATTATATTGTAGATGATATAAAAGATATTATAGATGATTAATAAAACATGTAGATACTTTTTTACCCTAAATTTTGCAAAATTTGTGTGTAAAATGTTAAAATGTATGAAGAAATATGTCATCGAGAGACTTTTTATGTGTTTTTACAATGTTTAAGAGCTTAATATTGTTAAATAATATTACGTATAACATAAAATGTATTGTAGATTGATTTAAAAGTGATAATTTTGCAAAATTTTTGTGTAAAACGTTTAAAAATGCTAAAAAAATGTGTTATCGACTTAGTTTTGGGAGTAATGTGTTTGAGTAATTAAGTTTGAGAGGTTTTGTTTATCTAAATCTTATTAGATAATATTGTGGATGATGTAGAAGGTATTATAGATACTTGTAAATTGATGATTTTGCAAAAATTTTGTGTAAAATGTGTAAAAATTCTAAAAAAATGTGTTATCGACTGGATTTTGTATGTAATTTTTTGCATTTATTAAGTTTGAGAAGTTTTGTGTAGGTAAATCTTATTAGATAACATTGTAGATACTTTTATAAATGTCATAGATATTAAATTTATCTCAAATTTTGCAAATTTAAGATAAATAAAGTTAAAAAAGTAATGAAATTGGTCATTGAGTGCCTTTTGTATGTATTTACACAGTTTTAAGTATTATCTTATTATTATTAAGTTTTAAGTCTTTATCTTATTAGATAACATTGTAGATAATGTAGATACTTTTGTAGACATTGTAGATAACTTGTTCTTTTCAAAATTTACAAAAAAAGGTTTTTTTTTGAGTAAAATTGCAAAATAAGTGAAGAAATTTGTTATTGATAGTATTGTATATGTATTTATAAAGGCTACAAGGTTTTATTTATAATATGTTGAATTAGATAATATTGTAGATAATGTAAAAGATATTGTAGATACTCTATTTATCTCAAAATTTACAAGAAAATGATTTTTCTTGTGTAAAACGTTAAAATAAGTGAAGAAATTTGTTATCGAGATACAGTTAAAGCCATTTTTCGCAAAATTTTGTTCCAAACTTTTAAAATTGTTATATACAGATTTGTAGATAATTTTATTAGCTTTCTAACAATATATAATAAAATTATTATTACGCAAATTTTACATAATAATAATTACTTATATATACATAAAACAATAATTTTGGGTCGCAATTTTTTCAATTTGCGATGTTTGTTCAAAAATTTGTTTAAAGCTTTACACATTATTATATATCACTAAAATATTTATTAAATTATGTATAAATTTACGGTTTCGAAAGTTTTGGAACAACATTTTTGTCAAAAATTACTCAAAATTTGCAATTTAATATCAACATTTTAGTTGTTCGGTGACACTTCTTTGAGTTTCAAAACATTTGATTAAATTTTAATATGCTATTATATATCAATACAAAGCTAATTAAATTGTCTACAAATATGCATTTTTAGATTTATAACTGTTGGAATAAAATTATTAATACAAAAATCAGGAATTAAATATTATCAGTAGCTATTGCATAGCTGAACAAATAATTAGATACTAAATGTAAACTTTGCATATTTTTCTTACATAATTTTGTTAGAAAAGTTTTGAAACGTTATATACAGATTTATAGACGATTTTAATTATTAATGATAAATAATAATATATACATGCTTAAACAAATTACTTGATCAAAATTTAGAAAAATGCAACTTGCAAACCTGGCATATTAATTCTCAAACATGACTGTATTAAAAACTAAAATTTAGACAATTTTTTAAATAATATTTTGTTCCAGAGGTTTTAAAGTGTTATATACAGATTTGTAGATATTTGTATTAGCTTTTGAACAATATATAACATTATTGTTATATTTAATATAATATATTTAATTACTAATTATTTACAAACAAAATGCACGTTGACACAAAAGCTGCAGTATGAAATTAATGTTAGACATACCCACTCCATTTTGATTTCAAAATTTAAACATTTTTTTTGCAAAATTTTGTTCCAAATCTTCAAAATTGATTTATACAGATTTGTAGATAATTTTATTAGCTTTCTAACAATATATCACACTATTGTTATATTTAAAATATTTATAACAAAATGCACGTTCAAACAAAAAAAAACGCAACACAAATCTAATGTTACCAAAAAATCCACAATTTTGATGTCGAAGTTTAAACGCATTTTTTGTAAAATTTTGTTCCAATCTTTTAAAATTGTTATATACAGATTTGTAGATAATTTTATTAGCTTTCTAACGATATATAACAGTACATATGTGCCAAAACAAATTTAAACAATATAAACCCAAATACAAAAAAACGCATCTCATACCTCCAAATCCACTCTCGAAATCCTTCCTTCAATATACCTTACTCAGTCACTCTTCACCAGTTCCATATATATCCATCTCTTTCACGCCACCAAATTTAACCCATAGTGCTGTTCACATGACACAATATATAAAATCGAACAATTATCGATCCTTTTTTCTTCCAGATGCCGGAGACGAGACCCTTTTCACATCCCTAGAAGCCTCTCTTGTAAACGGCATACCACAGGACTCAATCGAGTGGAAAAGGTCTTACGGTCGTGTCGTAAAGGCCGTCTGTGTCGATGCCTCTTTTGTACCTTTTTGCAAAGAGGTCTTTGTCAAGAACTACACCGATATGGAGTATTATAAACCAACCTATACTGCACACGTATTGGACGGATTGCCCGGTAAGTGGGAGGAGGATATAGAATACGAATTGAATGGATACAACTTTGCTCACGCCGCGAAGAGCAAAGTTGTATGGGTTTTAGAAGGGATTTTAGGGTATACGGAGTTGCTGTAGGGCTTTGGGGTGTTAGACAATATTTTAGATTGTTTAGTTTTAAATAAGTTTGTCGAAGACATCATTCATTTTCAACGAATGGTTTAGAAGTTACAAGGGTTGAAACAAAAATTGCACTCTTTGATATAGAATGTAAATAGAATGGTGTACAACTTTGCTTCCGCCGCTTTTTGTATGAAAGTTGGCGGCAAAAGGGGCGTGAGCAAAGTTGTATGGTTTTGGAAGGGATTTTAGGGTATACCGAGGGTTGTAGGGCTTTGGGGTGTAAGACAATATTTTATATTGGTTAGTTTTAAATAATTTTCCCGAAGACATTATTCATTTTAATCGAATGGTTTAGAAGTTACAAGGGTTGAACTAAAAATTTGCACTCCGTATACAAGAGGATATAGAAACGAATAGAATGGATACAACTTTGCTTCCGCCGCTTTTTGTATGGGAGTTGGCTGAAAATGGGGCGTGAGCAAAGTTGTATGGTTTTGGAAGGGATTTTAGGATATACCGAGTTGCTGTAGGCCTTTGGGGTGTTAGACAATATTTTAGATTGGCTAGTTTTGCATAAGTTTGTCGAAGACATGGTTTATATCAAACGAATGGTTTAGAAGTTACAAGGGTTGAAACAAAAATTTGCACTCCGTATATAAGAGGATATAGAATACGAATAGAATGGGTACAACTTTGCTTCCGCCGCTTTTTGTATGGAAATTGGTTGCAAAAGGGGCGTGAGCAAAGTTGTATGGGTTTTAAAATGGGTTTTAGGGTATACGAAGTTGCTGTAGGGCTTTGGGGTGTTAGACAATTATTTTAGACTGTTTAGTTTTAAATAAGTTTGTCGAAGACATCATTCATTTTCTACGAATGGTTCAGAAGTTACAAGGGCCAAAACAAAAAAAGTGCACTCGGTATACAATATGTTCTTGTCTACGCTATGGTTGAAGTCTCTGATAAAGTTTATTCGGTATACTTGGTGTTTAGTTGTTTGTTTCGTTTCAATTGCTATTTTCAAGTACAAGGGGTTGCTGTAGAGCTTTATGATGTTAGACAATATTTTAGATTGTTTAGTTTTAAATAAGTTTGTCGAAAACGTCATTCATATTAAACGAATGGTTTGGAAGTTATGACGTGTTTAATAAAAAAGTGTACTGTTAGTGTAAATTTAGTTTGTCTAAAAGGACTCTACTGTCGAGCAAATTTGACTTGTGGAAAGTTTTATGAAAAATGTTGAAACAAAAGGGACTATACTGACGAGCAACTTGCTTTGAAAATTAAGATGAAATTAGGAAATTTTGGTTCTTATAAAAAATGGATTCTACTAACGAGCAAGTCGTAAATTAGACAAATGAAATTTAAGACGAAAAGGACTCTAGTGACGAGCAAACTAAAAACAAACTTTAAAAATGAGTCTCTACTGACCAGCAGACTAAAAATAAGGTTAGAAAAGGGACTCTACTGACCAGCAGACTAAAAATAAGGTTAAAAAAGGGACTCTACTGACCAGCAAACTAAAAATAAAATTAAAAGATGAACTCTACTGACCAGCATACTAAAAATAAGGTGAAAAAAGGGGTTCTACTGACGAGCGAACTGAAAGTAAGGTTAAAAAAGGGACTCTACTGACGAGCAACCTGAAAACAAATTTAAAAAGGGGTCTCTATTGACCAGCAGACTAAAAATATGGCTAGAAAAGGGACTCTACTGACGAGCAGACTAAAAATATGATAAGCAAACTAATTTGTGATTTTAAGAAAAGAAAAAGGACATTACTGACGAATAAACTGTAATAAGAGTTAAATGGACTTTACTGACGAGCAAACTATGTTTTGATGTTAATTGACAAAAGGGTCTCTACTGACGAGCAAACTGAAAAGGGACTAGGTAATTTAAAAAAGGATTCAATTGGCATAAATGGACTCGAATATTTAAAAAAGGACTATACTGTCGAGCAAACTAAAAATTGACTCGAATATTTAAAAAATGACTCTACTGACGAGCAAAGTTAAAATTTATTAGAAAATTAAGAAAAGACTATACTGACGAGCAAATTGAAAATCGACTAGAAATTTTTTAAAATGGACTTTACTGAAACAATAATGAACTAGATAATTTAAAAAAGGACTCTACTGGCGTAAATGGACTATAAAATTAAAAAGGACTCTACTAACGAGCAACTTAAAATTGACTATAACATTAAAAAGGGCCTGTATTGACGAACACCTAAAAATTATTAAACAATCAAAAAAGGACTCTACTGACTAGCAAAGTAAAAATTGACTCGAATATTTAAAAAAGTAGTTCTACTGGCGTAAAAATAGACTAGATAATTAAAAAGGGACTCTACTGGCGATCAAAACACAAATGGACTAGAAAATTAAAATAGGACTCTACTTATGGGCAAAGTAAAATTTAACTAGGAAATTTAAAAAAGGACTCTACTGACGAGCAAACTAAAAATTGACTTTAGGAAATTAAAAAAGGACTTTACTAGCGAGCAAGATAAAAATTAAAACGGATTCGTCTAGCGAGCAAAATAAAATTGCATATAAAATTAAAAAAAAGACACTACTGACGACCAAACTAACAATTGTCTAGAAAATTAAAAAGCTTTCTACAGACTAGAAAATTAAGATGACTCTACTGACGACTAAAAATTGACTAGGAAATTGAAAAAGGACTCTACTCACGAGTATAATAAAAATTGAGTAGATTATTAAAAAAGAACTATACTGACGAGCAAACTTAAATTGATTAGAAAATTAAAAAGGAATCTACTAACGAGTAAACTGAAAATTGTATAGAAAATGGAAATCGACAAAACACATATACACAATACAAAATACATTATTCAAGGGACGTTTCGCCGAAGGTTGTTTCATCCAGCTACATTTATTATTTATTATTTATGCATATACATTAGGGTGGTCCTTAATATGGACATTTTCGAATTTCTTTTCTCCAAGGGCTCAAATGCTTCTAAATTAACAAAACAAAAACGTCTAAAAGATTCAGCTCTTAATATTAACATTGAGATAGTCCGCAATTCAATATTAAGTACATTCTTGCGCCATCTGTGATAGCATTTGTGAACTCACATATTATGACACTTAAAAATATTCATAAATCATTTAATCTTTAATTAAATCCTGTGAAAAACAAAATATTTATTAATCATGGCATCAAAATTAATTTTACAGCTAAATATTTATTTACTTGGTGATTTTGACGCTCATATTATTAGTATCAATTGTCATCAAAATTACAAGACTGTCTATCACAGATGGCGCAAGAATTTATATTAAAATGAATATACGAAACTTAATTGAATTGCGGACTATCTAAATGATAATATTTAGAGCCAAAACTTTTACAGCATTTTTTTTACCAATTTGGAAACATTTGAGCCCTTGGAGCCAAAAAAATCCTTAACATCCTAATCAAGGACCACCCTAAATAATATAAACAAAATTATTCATTTTATTTATTTCTTTTCCCCAGGATGTAGAAACCTACAAAACGACTACCAAAGACGACATAGACCAATGGCTAAAACAACTCCATTCCCGAAACATCCAGGACTGGATGATAGTCCTGGTAGAAAACTACGATTTAAGGAAGAGCAACAAACTTTTGCCCAGGACTACCGTTTTGGACAAATTAAGGAACGATTTTGCGACTAAAAATGGAGACCGATTTTTATCTGTCATCAATCCTTTGAAATCGGAGATCAAATCGGCCGATTCCTGGAGAGGATTGTTGATAAGGATCAGACATTTGATGTTAACGGGGTATAATAGGAGTATTATGAAGTTTGAGGAGTATATTCGAGAGCAGAGGGAAAGGAGGAACGAGAATGGGTGGAATTTTTGCCAGTATTTTTTGTTACAGGTGAGAAATATACAGATTTGTAGATAATTTTATTAGCTTTCTAATGATATGTAATACTATATACATGTTTTAACAAATTATTAGCAAAATTCATGAAATTATGAAGAATGACATATTGGTATACCAAAATGACTCCATACGACTCAGTATTCAATTATAAAGTTTAAACATTTTTTTTAATTTTTGTTCCAAAAGTTACAAATTGTTATATAAAGATTTGTAGATAATTTTATTAGCTTTCTAATGATATATAACAACATATACTTATTCAAATAATATTTTTATTGACTATTTTTGAAATTTGAATTTTAAATCTTAACGGTTATTTCACGCGCGCGAACTTCACACTCAAAGTATTTTGTTCTACATTTATGTGCAGTAATTTTGTTTGAACTCGGTTTGTTATTCAATTATAAAGTTTAAACAATTTTTTTTCCTATAATTTTGTTCTAAAAGTTTTAAATTGTTATATACAGGTTTGTAGATAATTTCTTCATCTTTCTAATGATATATAATAATATATACTTGTTTGAGTAACTTTTTGTAAAAAAAAGGTATTTTATAATGAAGTATCCAAATTATTCATACTACAAACGCGATATATTTGTAAAGTTTGGGAATTTCTATTTCTATAATTTTGTTCTCAACATTTTTCAAGGATATATACAGATTTGTAGATAATTTTATTAGCTTTCTAATGATATATAATAATATATACCAGTTCAAACAATATTTTGTGAAAAATCAGCCTTAGGTAAAAAAATGTCCAAATTATCCATACTAGAACTATTTTATGAAATTGGGATTTTTTTGTGCATTAGTTTGTTCTAAACATTATTTAACGACTTATATAGATTTATAGATAATTTAATTAGCTTTCTAACTATATATAATATTAATAATTAATTAAATTAAATTTGAACAAAATAAATATAAACAAAAACACTGAAACTTAAATAATGTCAACTAAACTTGTTGAAAATTAAAAAAAATCAGATATTTTCTTATGAAAGCGAAAGAGAGAGATAGACAGATATGGATTGTGAGATATAAAGCTAGATATATTAGGTTGTCAAATATCTCCTTTCCGCCTTTCGAGCAAAAAAGCGGAAGGGAGATATTTGACAACCTAATATAAAGTGGAAAATGGTCTCTCTATCTATGAAAAGAACAAATTCAAAGTTTAGCAATATTTTTCTATATAATCATGTTTGAAAATTGTTAAACGTTATAGACAGATTTTTAGATAATTTTATTAGCTTTCTAATGATATATAACAACATATACTTATTTCAATAATATTTTACTAAATATATTTGAAATTTGAATTTTGAATCCTAACGGTTACATCAAACGCGCGAACTTCACACTCGAAGTGTTTTGTTCAACGTTTACGTGCAGTAATTTTGTTTCAACTCGGTTTGTTATTCAATTAAAAAGTTTAAACTTTTTTTTTATTATAATTTTGTTCCATACGTTTGGTTCTAGTTTTATTCGTTAGTAAAGTCCCTGTTTTCTTTTAATTCTAGTTTTGTTCGTCAATAGAGTCTCTGGTTATCTTATTTTGAGGTTTGCTCGACAGTAGAGTTCTTTTTTTCCTCTATTTTTAGTTTGCCCGTCAGTAGAGTCCCTTTTTGTCGCATTTCGATTTTTAGACTTTACTGACAAACAAATTAAATTTGAACTAGAAGTAAATGTTAGTAAAAAAAGGGTCAGGCAAAAAGGACACTACTGACGAGCAAGCTAAAACCCACACTTGATGAAAAAATTTCAAAAAAAGATATTAAAAAAGGGACTCTACTCACGAGTAAAACTAAAAATGACAGAAAGAGGAATACTGTTTTTTCTCAAATGACGAAATATTTTTATTAGAAGAGTAGAGTACTACTTACGTGCAAACCGAAATTCAACAACAGGAATAAAATTAGCAAAACGTTGTTTTTCACAAAGAGACTCTACTGACGATTAAATTAAATTAAATTAACAATAAAAAGGACTGTACTAATGAGCAAGTAAACTAAAAATAAAGAAAAACAAGGATTCTACTGACAAGCAAATGAAAAACAAATTTAAAGGGATTCTACTGACAAGGAAGATAAAAATTGATTAGAAAATTAAAAAAGGACTCTATTGACAAACAAACTAAAAATTTATTAGAAAAGTAATAAAGGGACTATACTTACGAGTAAAATAAAAATTGACTGGAAAATTTAAAGAAGGACTCTACTGACGAGCAAACTGAAAATCGAAGAGAAAATTAAAAAAGGACTCATGAGCAAACTAAAAATAAAATTGAGAAAAGGGACTCTACTGACGAGCCAACTAAACATTTATTAGAAAATTTACAAAAGGACTCTACTGACGATCAAACTAAAAATTTATTAGAAAATTTAAAAAAGGACTTTTCTGATGAGCCAACTAAAAATTGATTAAAAAATTATAAAAGGACTCTACTGACAAGCAAACTAAAAATTTATTAGAAAATTTAAAAAGGGACTCTACTGACGAACAAACTAAAAATTTATTAGAAAATTTAACAAAGGACTCTACTAATGAGCAAACTAAAAATAAAATTGAGAAAAGGGACACTACTGACGAGCCAACTAAACATTTATTAAAAAAGTTACAAAAGGACTCTACTGACAAGTAAACTAAAAATTTATTAGAAAATTTAAAAAAGGACTTTACTGATGAGCCAACTAAAAATGGATTAAAAAATTATAAAAGGACTCTACTGACAAGTAAACTAAAAATTTATTAGAAAATTTAAAAAGGGACTCTACTGACGAACAAACTAAAAATTTATTATAAAATTTAACAAAGGACTCTACTAATGAGCAAACCAAAAATAAAAATGAGAAAGGGACTCTACTGACGAGCCAACTAAACATTTATTAAAAAAGTTACAAAAGGACTCTACTGACAATAAACTAAAAATTTATTAGAAAATTTAAAAAAGGACTTTACTGATGAGCCAACTAAAAATCGATTAAAAAATTATAAAAGGTCTCTACTGACAAGTAAACTAAAAATTTATTAGAAAATTTAAAAAGGGACTCTACTGACGAACAAACTAAAAATTTATTATAAAATTTAACAAAGGACTCTACTAATGAGCAAACCAAAAATAAAAATGAGAAAAGGGACACTACTGACGAGCCAACTAAACATTTATTAAAAAAGTTACAAAAGGACTCTACTGACAAGTAAACTAAAAATTTATTAGAAAATTTAAAAAAGGACTTTACTGATGAGCCAACTAAAAATCGATTAAAAAATTATAAAAGGTCTCTACTGACAAGTAAACTAAAAATTTATTAGAAAATTTAAAAAGGGACTCTACTGACGAACAAACTAAAAATTTCATTATAAAATTTAACAAAGAACTCTGCTGATAGCCAACTAAAAATCGATTAAAAAATTATAAAAGGACTCTACTGACAAGTAAACTAAAAATTTATTAGAAAATTTAAAAAGGGACTCTACTGACGAACAAACTAAAAATTTATTATAAAATTTAACAAAGAACTCTGCTGATAAGCCAACTAAAAATCGATTAAAAAATTATAAAAGGACTCTACTGACAAGTAAACTAAAATTCATTAGAAAATTTAAAAAGTGACTCTACTGATGAACAAACTAAAAATTTATTAGAAAATTTAACAAAGGACTCTACTAATGAGCAAACTAAAAATAAAATTTAGAAAAGGGACATTAATGACGAGCCAACTAAACATTTATTAAAAAAGTTAAAAAAGGGGTCTACTGATAAGCAAACTACAAATTTATTAGAAAATTAAAAAAAGACTCTACTGATGAGCAAAATAAAAATTTATTAGAAAATTATAAAAGGACTCTACTGACAAGTAAACTAAAAATTTATTAGAAAATTTAAAAAGGGACTCTACTGACGAACAAACTAAAAATTTATTATAAAATTTAACAAAGAACTCTGCTGATAAGCCAACTAAAAATCGATTAAAAAATTATAAAAGGACTCTACTGACAAGTAAACTAAAAATTCATTAAAAAATTTAAAAAGGGACTCTACTGACGAGCAAAATAAGATTTTACTAAGATTTAAAAATGACTCTACTGATGAACAAACTTAAAATCGGGAATTAAAAAAGGGACTATATTGACTTGCTCGAAATAAAGAAAACAAAAAGAAATAATTTTGTTCCAGTATGTATATATTATTATGTATCATTAGAAAGTTAATAAAGTTATCTACAAATCTGTATATAATAATTTAAAACTCTCAGAACAAAATTAAATTACAAAAAATGTGTAAACTTTAGAATTGAATACTGAGTCGCGCGACGTCATTTTGATAAACCAATATGTTTGCCGGTTACATATTTTCTTATTCCGACAAATTTTGTTAAGGATTTGTTTAAACGTGTATATATTATTATACATCATTAGAAAGCTAATACAATTATCTATAAATTTGTATAAAACACTTCGCAACTTTTGGAACAAAATTCTATTTAAAATAATGTTTAAACTTTAACACAAATAAGAGTATCTAATAATTAAAAGTATGTAAATTAAATATATATTTAAAGATTGTGATTTTTTTTTTGAAGAATGTTTGAACTTTCTTTTTTTTCGATTACAAACCATTATTTTATTTTTAAACAAAATGTATAATTTAAAGTGGATAGTTTGTAGTATTAAATAAGAGTAAAATACTTTTAGTAGTAAACTCATAAATCATAGTTATTGTATATAATATTGTAATATATTGTAATAAAACAGAAATAAACTAAAAAAAAAACTTTAGAATTGAATACTGAGTCGCGCGACTTCATTTTGGTAAACCAATATGTCTGCCGGCTACATTTTTTTATATTTAGACCAATTTGTCAAAACGTGTATATACTATTATATATCGTTAGAAAGCTAATAAAATTATCTATAAATCTGTATATAACGATTTAAAACTTTTAGAACAATATTATAGTAAAAAAAAATGTTTAAACTTTAGAATTGAATACTGAGTCGCGCGACGTCATTTTGGTAAAACAATATGTCTGCCGGTCACATTTTTTCATATTCCGACAAATTCCTTTAACAATTTGTTCAAACATATATACATTATTATATATCATTAGAAAGCTAATAAAATTATCTATAAATCTGTATAAAACAATTATTAACACTTGGAACAAAATTATAGTAAAAAAATGTTTAAACTTTAAAATTGAATACAGAGTCGCGCGACGTCATTTTGGTAAACCAATATGTCTGCCGGTTAAATTTTTTCATATTCCGACAAATTCCTTTAACAATTTGTTCCAACATATATATTATTATATATCATTAGAAAGCTAATAAAATTATCTACAAATCATCATATAACAATTTGTAACTTTTGGAACAAAATTATTGCAAAAAAATTGTTTAAACTTTAGAATTGAATACTGAGTCGCGCGACGTCATTCTGGTAAACCAATATGTCTGCCGGTTACATTGTTTTATATTTTGACAAATTTTGTTAACAATTTGTTCAAACTCGTATATATTATTATATATCATTAGGAAGATAATAAAATCATCTACAAATCTGTATATAACAATTTGTAACCGTTGGAACAAAATTTTAGTGAAAAAAATTTGTTTAAACTTTAAAACTGAATACAAATCGTATGACTTTATTAAATTTCAACTCTAGATATCTGCCGGTTACATTTTTGTGTATTTTTATCGATTTTGTTATTAACTTGTTTAAACATTCATTTAGTGTTACATAAGATCAGAAAGCTAATTAAGTCATCTATAAATCATATCATAACATATTAAATCATATAACAATTTAAATAGTCAGAAACAAAATTTTGTTCTAAAAAATTTTAAAAGCACCGAGTCAATTTTCTACCAAAATGCCAGGATTTCTGGCGACATTTTTACATTTTGATAAATTTTGTTAATAATTTGTTTAAACACGTATTTATTATTATATGTCATTAGAATGATAATAAAATTATACACAAATCTGTATATAACATTTTGTAACATTTGGAACAAAATTATGTTAAAAAAAATATTTAAACTGCCTTTGTACATCACGACATTTTTTTACATTTTGCTAAATTTCTTTGACAATTTGTTCAAACACATATACATTATTATATATCATTAGAAAGCTAAAAAAATCACCTATCTAATCCATTATCTTTTTCCAGGAAGAATTGGCCTTCGTTTTCGAAATGCTGGGCCTCTACGAAGACGCCCTCGTCCAATACGACGAACTCGATGCCCTTTTCACCCAATTCGTCCTGAATTCGCACATTTCGAATGGTCCAGCCTGGTTGGCCAGTTTTCAGAGGCCCTTACAAGCCTGGAAGGGCATCAGGTTGTCACCTTCGGCCAATCAGCAGGAACGAGACCTGATTGCAACCTGCGAGGCTTCTTTGCTGGAATTTCGAAGCTATTTGTTCCAGAGACAGTGCGCTATGTTGTTATTGACACTCAAACCTTGGGAGGTGAGGATGATAAATGATTTTTGGTTAATGATTTTGTTTGAAAAGTTTTGAAGTGTTGTATGCAGATATGTAGGTAATTTTATTAGCTTTCTAATCGTGTATAATAGTATATACATGTTGGAACAAAGTGTTGAAGAAATTTATCGGAATATGGAAAAATGTAACCAGCGGACTTGGTGTTCAATTACAAAATTTAAGATTTTTTTTTAATATAATTTTGTATCAAAAGTTACGAAATATTATATACAGATTTATAGATAATTTTATTAGCTTTCTAATAATATATAATAATATATATATGTTAGAACAAATCGTTAGAGAAATTTGACGGAATATAAAAAATGTAACCGGCAGACACACGAGTTTTAATAAATAAATGCACACTGACGAGTGGTCGTACTATAAATAGTACAGCGGGTCAAATGTGAGTTAAGAAGTTTTACTTCAAATATAGGCATGTGGGGTATCAAATGAAAGGTCTCGACGAGCACTATACAGATATAATAGTGACCTCTTAAACAAACTAATAGAGTTCCGTACAAATCATCTTTTCACTTTTCACTATCTTATCTGATTTTTACTATCTATTTTTGCAATTTTAAAGTATACCAAGTAGCTGTGGAGTTCTAATATATTATAAGAAATAATAGATCGTTAGTTAAGAATAAATTTTTCTAATATTCTAGTTAGTTTAGACAAACGGTTCAAAAGTTACAAGAGATATAATAAAAGGTGGACCAATGGGTTGCTCTACAGTGAATCAAAATGCTATGACGTCAAATATAGGCATGTAGGGTATCACATGAAAGGTCTCAACGAGTACTATAAAAATAAAATAATGATGGCCCAAACAAAGCAATATGGTTCTCTGAAATTAATAAAATCTTCTTTTCCTAAGCTTTTTCAATATGTTTTGTCAAGTTTAATTTGCTAATCAGTAGAGTCTTTTTTTAAATTAAAATAGCTATTTTTAAAAACTTGTTTGTTAGTAAATATTATATAAAATGATTATATAACTTGTACAATAGTTTCCAAAGGTTGTAAATATGATATTTAGATAGTGCTTATTGAGACCTCTCATTTGATACCCCACATGCCTATATTTGAAGTAAAAAGTTTTATCTCACATTGTTAGATAACTGTTTTTAATATTGTCTGGTATAGAAACGTTACAGAAAATTTGTATACTTTAAAATATCAAAAACTTTTCCAAACTATCTTTTAATGTAGTCCTAGTTTAGTTTGCTTGTCAGTTGAGTCCTTTTCCTGAACATTTTTAACAATTTTTTAGTTAAATTCATTTTGCTTGGCAGTAGAGTCCCTTATTTTGTAACATTTCTTTAACACTTTTGTCAAATCCGAATTTAGAAAAGAATCTTTTTTGATTCAACACTTTCTGTCATTTGCTCGTCAGTAGAGTAGTTTCATGTTTAGATGAAAAAACTTTTTGTCTGAACATTTGCAGTTACATTATCACCTTAAATTGAATTTTGCTCGTCAGTAGAGTCTCTTTTTCATAATATTATTCCAATATTTCTGCCAAAATAAAATGCCAAAAACAAGATGAATTTCCTTGTCAGTAGAGTCCCTTCTTTCCTAATCTTTTTTCAAATATCCAAATTTAATTTGCTCGTCAGTAGAGTTCTTTTTTAAAACGTTCTTGATATAAATATAAATAAAATTAATATAATTATTGTTAAAAGATATATAATAAAATGTGGACCAATGGGTTGCCAAACTATAAATAGTACAGCGGGTCAAGATGTTGTGACGTCACATATGGCATTTGGGGTATCAAATGAAAGGTCTCGAAGAGCTCTATTCATATATCATAGTAACTTTTACAACAAACCAAAATAGATACACAAACATATATAACTAGTTACTAAACGGCTTCAGCATATTAAACAATCTTATACCTCATACAATTTAACACAACTTTGCCGAATATTTTATTCAAATCGGACAAACCGTTCAAAAGTTACAAGAGATGTAACAGAAGTCGACCATTGAGTTGCAGAACCCGAGGACAGACTCAGAAAGTTTTACTTCAAATATAGGCATATGCGGTATCAAATGAAAGGTCTCGACGAGCACTATACAAATATCATAGTGGCAGATCTAACAAACCAATAAGGTTTCATATTTAATATATATTTGAAATCTAACTCTATTTATTTGTTTCAAAACATGTTTTTGTGTAAAAAGAGTCCCTATAGAGCTTCACAATATTAGACAGTACTAAACATCATTTAATTTTGTAATATATTGCCGAATATTACACTTGTCTACGATGAATAGTTCAAAAGTTACAAGCAATAAAATAATAAATACACAAACAATATAAATAGTACAGCGGGTCAAATATGAGTTAAGAAGTTTTACTTCAAATATAGGCATGTGGGGTATCAAATGAAAGGTCTCGACAATCACTATTCAAAAATCATATCCAAACATAATTTAACATAAATCTTAAGACAGAATACCACTTACACCTAGTTTAAATCAACAACTAACTATATAAATCTTTTATCCAGATTGCTCAGAGATCTCTACCATTCCTCCACAATACTGTTCGAGAGACATTTTACTAATAATTTCTTAATTTCCTTCTTAGTAGAGTTCTCTTTTTTTCTTTTAACATTTTCCACTAGTATTTGTCTCTGGTCTTAGCAATTTGGTCGAACGGTTTAAAAGTTACAAGAGATTTAATAAAAAGTAGACCAATGGGATGCAGAACTGTTTGTTACTTCAAATATAGGCATGTTGGGTATCAAATGAAAGGTCTCGACGAGCACTAGATAAATATCTTTGTAACAGACTTGACAAACCAATGGGGTTCCGTACAAATTATATAATGTTATGGTTTTGCTATTTTAGAGTATACCGAGTTGCCGTAGACTTTTACAAATTATATATAATTCAATTTAAAACATCTTTGCCGAATATTCCACTTAATTCGGACTAACGGTTCAAAAGTTACAAGAGATGTAACGAAAGTGGACCAATGGGTTGCCGAATTTTGTTTAAGACATAAGTTAATAAGTTTTACTTCAAATATAGGCATGTGGGGTATCAAATGAAAGGTCTCGACGAGCACTATCTAAAAATCATACTCAAAAGACAGAATACCACTTACACCTAGTTTAAATCAATAACTAATTATTTCTCTTATCTTTTATCCAGATTGCGCAGAGATCTCTACCTTTCCTCCACAATACTGTTCGAGAACTGGAGTTATTAGATATTGCAGATTCTGCTCCAGAAGGCGCAGCAGCCTGCTGGGTCTTCTTATGCTGCCTGGAAGTTCTGCACACCTGCGAAAGATTTAATAACAGCGGTCACGTGGAGCAGTATTCTTTGTACACGGCTGATTTGTGGGCTTATGCTAGCGATAAGGTAATAAATAAATAAATAAATAAATGAACTAGTGGTGTATGGCATCGTGCCTTGAGGCAAGTTGCTGGAACTTTCCGTACTGTAATGAAATGTTCGAGAAATTTTAAACGTTAATAACAAATACTGTAACTTTCATTATTTTTGCTATCTTGTTTGTTATATCTGAGCAAATTAATGTGAATCTATTAAATAAATCAATTTATCTCCAGAGCATTAACAATCGTCATTTCATTTCGAATTCAATTTCATAAAAAAATAGTTGCCTAATTTACACAAAATTGAAAAAGTGCTCCCGTACAGTCACAGTCTAAACGCATTCGAAAATAATTCTGTGCTTGTCAGTAGAGTCCATTTTTCATCATATAGCTCAACATTCAATTTGCTTGTCAGTAGAGTCCTTTTCTAATTTTCTAGTATAATATTAATTTTGCTTTATTCGTTAAAGATCTATTTTGGTATATTTCATATTGTTATTCAATTTGCTCATCAGTAGAGTCCCTTTAAATCAAAAATTAAGTTTGCTTGTCAGTAAGGTCTTTTTTCAAAATTCCAGATCGACATTTAGTTTGCTAGTCAGTAGAGTCCTTTTTTTTTGTTTTTCGAAGTTGATATTTAATTTGCTCGTTAGTAGAGTCTTTTCTTTGTCTTTTAAATCAAAACTAAGTTTGCTCGTCAGTAGAGTACCTTTTTGTTTTTTAAATCCAAATTAAATTTGTGTGCGTCATTTTTTTGTTATTTTAAGTTGATATTTATTTTGCTTCCTTTTTTGTATTGTTGAATATTATTTAATGTGCTCTTCAGTAGAGTCCTTTCTTACTTTTCCAGGTTTATATATATTTTTCTCGTCAGTAGAGTCCATTTCTTGTTTCAAAGATTGTTATTTATTTTGCAAATCAGTAGATTTTTTTGTATTTGCTTGTCAGAAATATCCTTTCTTTGTTTTCACATTAATATGCTGATTGGTCAGCAGTATAGTCATCTTTTTTTTAAATTGCAAATCCTAATTCAGTTTGCTCGTCCCTTTTTACATTAAAAATTTAAACTAGCGGTGTATGGCATCGTGCCTTAAGGCAAATTGCTGGAACTTCCCGTACCGTAATGAAATATTCGAGAAATTTTAAACGTTTACAAATATATTATTAATACAAATACTGTAATTGTTTCATTATTACTGCTATCTTGTTATTTAAAAAATAGTTGCCTAAATTTACACAAAATTGAAAAATCGCTCCCGCATAGTCACAACGCATTTGCAAATAATTCTGTGCGACATTTTCACTTAGACTGTGCTTAGCTCGTCGGCATTTTCACATTTTTCAATAGTTTTTATCATTATTGATTACGGCTTGCTTATGAATAAATAACTCTACTGACGAGCAAATATAAATTCGTTATTTATTAGGAATTTAATTTTATTATTAGTCCGTAACAAAAAAGGACTCTACTGTGCTTTTCAGAGACTGACGAGCAATCTTACTTTTAACCCAAAAAATAAAAAAGGGACTCTACTAACGAGCAAACTTAATTATGATCTACAGAACGAAAAATATAAACTCTACTAACGATCAATCATAATTTTGTTCGAAAAGTTATAAATGGGACTCTACTAACGAGCAATCTTAATTGTGATCTGCAGAATGAAACAAAGAGACTCTACTGACGAGCAAACTTGAAAATGAAAATAGATGATTACTGACGAGCAATTTCAAATTTGATTTGAAGAAAAATGAACAAAAAAGATAGAAATGTGACTCTACTGACGAGCATATTAAATGGCAACAAACAAGATAAAGAGAGAACTCTACTGACGAGTCAATTAAATAAAAGATAATGAAATAGAATTAAAATTTGAGTTTTTTTTATTTTTGGTTTGACACCAAATTTGGTCGTTAATTCGCTCCCCTTTTTGTCTTTTATTTAGTAATTCAATTTGCTCGTCAGTAGAGTCCCTTTTCGATCTTCTAGATCAAATTTTGAGTTTGCTCGTCAGTAGAGTCCCCTTTTTTTAATTTTCCAGGTCTAAATTAAAGTTTGCTTGTCAGTAGAGTCCCATTTTGTCTTTTAAATCAATTCTTAAGTTTGCTCGTCAGTAGAGTCCCATTTTGTCTTTTAAATCAATTCTTAAGTTTGCTCGTCAGTAGAGTCCCTTTTTTAACATTCCAGGTCTAAATTAAAGTTTGCTCGTCAGTAGAGTCCCATTTTGTCTTTTAAATCAATTTTTAAGTTTGCTCGTCAGTAGAGTCTCCCTTTTTAACATTCCGGGTCTAAATTGAAGTTTGCTCGTCAGTAGAGTCTCATTTTGTCTTTTAAATCAATTTTTAAGTTTGCTCGTCAGTAGAGTTCCTTTTTTTTATATTCCAGATTTAAATTATAGTTTGCTCATCAGTAGAGTCCCTTCTTATTTTCTAGTCTAGATCGATATGTAATTTTAAAGTTCTTTTTACTAAACTCAAAGTTTCAAATTGTCAGTAGAGTCCTTCTCATGATATTTACACTTTGCTAGACAGTACAGTTCTATTTAGAAGCTGGAAATAACTTAAAGGGCAATATTTTTATTTACCTTGGCAGAAGATTCATCGTCATATATTATTTTTTATTTTGTATTTTAATTGCATAGTGTGAAGCACGCTTTAGCTTAAAGCCGCACTCACACTTGACATTTTGTATATGTGACTCGTGTATAACTTCATATGAAGCCGGTTGAGTGTGTTGGAAGCTTTAGCGACGTAAAGCTTGTTTCACACTTGACCTTTTACACTTTTCTTGGAAATTATTTTAGAATCAACATTAATTATCTCGCATATTAATTACAATACGTTACTAGTATAATTTTTTTAATTTTAATATTTATTTACTATTTTAGTTGAAATCTCTGGGTAAACTCTGCGGCCTGATGCCAGGCTGCAGTCCTACTTCAACGCAACTTCATGCCGTCGTCAACCTTTCAGCAGGAATGGGCGATTGTCCTGGTACGAAGCAGCAGCCGTCGCCGACTGATAAGCTGAAGGAGGCTTTGAGTTCCAATGATGCTTTTCAGAGACATTATTTGGTAAAGTTTAAACAATATTTTTACTAAATATATTTGAAATTTGAATTTTGAATTTTGAATTTTAACGGTTAATTCAAACGCGCGAACTTCACACTCAAAGTATTTTGTTCAACGCTTACGTGCAGTAACTCGGTTTGTTATTCAATTATAAAGTTTTAACAATATTTTTTACCATACATAATTTTGTTCTAAGAGTTTCAAAGTGTTATATACAGATTTGTAGATACTTTTATTAGCTTTTTAACGATATATAGCAATATACATTTATGCAAACAAATTATTAACAAAATCCTTCAAATCTCAATAGTACGGGAGGTAGCAACTTGCTTGTTTTGAAAACGTTGCTGCCTCCTATACTACAACAATTGTATACCTAAAATGCACTTTTCAACCTTTTTTATGCATTATATTATTATTTCGGAATTTTGTTCAAAATACATCAAGTTTATTATATGATATTTTAGTAGACACGTTTAAGTAAAGCATACTCAAATTATTATATTCTGGAATAAACGATATGTCTTGAAGAGCTCATCAAACGTGATTTAGAAAAGATGTTAGATTTATTCTTAGAAAAGTTCAGAAGAAAATACAGTGATTTATTATTATATTATTTTGTTTGAAAAGTTAACAGATTTGTAGATAGTTTTATTAGTTTTGCAATGATGTATAATAATATATACGTGTTTAAACAAATTTATAACAAAATTTAACGAAACGTAAACAAATGTAACCCGCAGACATAGATTTACATGTACACGATTTTGTATTCGATTTGTATAGTTTAAATAATTTTACAACAAAATTTTCAACGTTTACGTGCAGTAATTTTGTTTCAACTCGGCTTGTTATTCAATTATAAAGTTTAAACAATTTTTTTAATATTATTTTGTCCCAAACGTTTTAAAGTGTTATATACAGATTTGTAGATGATTTTATCAGCTTTCTAATGATATATAATATATATATATATATATATATGTTGGAACAAATCATTTCAGGAATTTATCAAAATATGAAAAAGTGTCACCAGCAGACATATTGGTTTACCAAAATGACGTCATACGACTCAGTATTCAATTCTAAAGTTTAAAGATACTTTTAAATTCAATTTTGTTCCAAACGTTTTAAAGTGTTATATACAGATTTGTAGATAATTTTATTACCTTTCCAATGATTAAGTATTCGAGCAAACTTTAGTAATATAAACCTAAATATAAGAAAATACAGTCACTTTTGTGCTATATTTTCTATTATTAAATCTCAATTCTATGTTTGCTCGTCAGTACAGTCTCTTTTTATCTGGTTTGCTCGTTAGTATAGTTTTTTTATTTGTTTTCAAAATTTATTGGCAAGCAAATAATGCTACTGTATTTTTTGCAAACTCAGAACATAAAAATCTTTTTAAGATTTAATTTTTTACTCAGTAAAGTTAATTTTCTTTTAATTTTAGTTTGCTTGTCAAAAGAGTCCCTTTTTGTCTTTTATTTTCACTTTGCTTGTTTGTAGAGTTTTTTCTCTTTTAATATTATCATTAGAGTTTCAATATTATCACTTCTAGTTTGCTCGTCAGTAGAGTCCTTTTTTCTCGTATTTTGAGTTTGCCCGTCAGTAGAGTTATTTTTCCTTCTTATTATCCCTTTTTCTTTTATTTTCAGTTTGCTCGTCAATAGAGTCCCATTTTTTCAATGTTAGTTTGGCATTTAATTTGCTCGTCAGTAGAGTCCATTTTTGTCTTTTAATTTGCTCGTCAGTAGAATTTCCTTTTTAGAATCTAGATCCAAAAGAAGTTTGCTCGTCAGTAGAGTCCCTTTTTCTATTTTAGTTTGGCATTTAATTTGACCGTCAGTAGAGTCCAATTTTTGTCGTTTATTTTGCAATTTAATTTGCTCGTCCGTAGAGTCTATTTTTTGCCTTCAAGATCAAAAATAAACGTGCTCGCCAGTCGTGTTCTTTTTTGTACTCAAGATCACCAAAATAAGTTTGCTCGTCACTCAGTCCCTTTTTAATCTTCTGAATTTTCGTGAGTAGAGTCCTCTTTTCATTTCCTAGATTGAAAATAAGTTTGCTTATCAGTAGACTTCTTCTTTATTTCTTTAGGTCGTCAATAAGTTCTTTTTTATCTTTTTTTGCAATTTAATTAGTTTGTCAGTAGAAATCCTTGTTATCCTTCTAATTATGTAAGAAAATCCGCTTTCTAATTTGTTGCTCGTCAATAGAGTCCCTTTTTCTTTTATTTCTAATTTTGTTACCAGTATGGTTTTTTTGTGTTTTATTTTTAGTTTGCTTGTCACTAGAGTCCTTTTTCTAGTTTTTTAAACAGTTTAAAAAAAAATATTTTCTGTTTGCTCATCAGTAGAGTTCCTTTTCATTTAATTATAATTTGTTTATCATTAGAATCGTTTTTGCTTTTATTTCTTATTTGCTCGTTAGTAGAGTCCTTTTTTTGTTTTTTATTAATAATAAGTTTGCTCGTCAGTAGAGTTTCTTTTCTTTTAATTTTTTAATTTAGTTCGTCAGTAAAGCCTCTTGTCCTTTTTATTTTTAGTTTGCTCGTCTAAATATTTATTACCTTAATTTTTTACCATTTAAATACACTCTTACTAAACACTTTCACAAATTTCAAATTCAAATCCTAACCGCCATTATTCCCACCCAACTTCACACCTAAAGCACAATGTTCATCCCTTCCGTGCAGTAATTTTGACTCCATTACCTCTTTTCTAGGAATTAGCAGAACTAGCAATGGGTACTTACAAGCACATAGGGCGCATTAGAAGCGCTCGGCTGATCGGTTTAGATATCGCCAGATTTTCATCGGATATCGGACAGATGAATAAGGCCATTGTATTTTTAAATGATGCCCTAAGGGCTTTTAGTGATGAAGGATGGAGGACTTTGGTGGTGCAGACACAACTCGAACTTGCTGCTTGTTATAAGAAGATGAACGACTTGGAAAGGTAATAATAATAGATATATATGTATGTATATATATATATATATATATATATATATATATATATATATTACATTATTACTTATTATTTTTTTACATAATCCAAATTAATTTGTTACAAAAATGCATAAGTTCAAGTCTAAAACAAGCTTTACTTCACTAAAGCTTCCACCACACTCAACCGGCTTCATATAAAGTTATAAACAACTGTTATATACAAAATGTCGAGTGTGGGTGCGGCTTTAGGCTAAAGCGTGTATCACACTATGCAATTAGAATGATATAAAAGTACGTTGTAAGATTTATTTGGTTGTCAGTAGAGTTCCTTTTGCTCACCAGTAGAGTTCAATTCATTTTCATTCATTCATCATTTGAAATCAAACTTACATATAAAGTTAGAAAACAAGCAAACTTAAATTTCGATCTGCAGCATAAAAAAGGACTCTACTGACGAGCAAATTTTATAGCAATCTGTAGCAAATTGAATTGCTAAATCGAAGACAAAAAGGCAGAAAATTAAATTTCGATTAGTGATATACAAAAAGGGACTCTACTGACCAGCAAACTTAAAATTTGATCTAAAAGACAAAAAAGGGGCTCTACTGACGAGCAAATTAAATAGCAAACTAAAAGATAAAAAAGGACTTTACTGACGAGCAAATTAAATTGCAAATTTAAAAAAAGGACTCTCCTAACGAGCAAACTTAAATTTGATTTGAAAAATAAAAAGGGACTCTACTGACGAGCAAACTTGAATAGCAACTGAAAAATAAAAAGGGACTCTACTGACGAGCAAACTTAAATTGCAAACTAAAAAAAGGGACTCTACTGACGAGCAAATTGAATTGTTAAATAAAAGACAAAAAAGGGAGTAAATAAATTTGGATGATTGATATACAAAAAGGGACTCTACTGACGAGCAAACTTAAAATTTGATCGAAAATTTGAAAAAATGGACTCTACCGACGAGCAAAACTTTAATTCAGATCTAGAATATTAACTCTTCGGGACTCTTCAGACGAGCAAACTCAAAATTTGATTTTGAAAATAAAAAGGGACTCTACTGACGAGCAAACTTTAATTTAGATCTGGAATATTAAAAAAAGGGGACTCTACTGACGAGCAAATTAAATAGCAAATTAAAAAATAAAAACGGACTCTACTGACGAGCAAACTTAATATGGATCTGGATTATTAAAAAGAGACTCTACTAACAAGCAAACTTAAAATTTGATCGAGAAGCTTTCTTTCTGTATATATTCTTTTTTCAGTATGTTTCTTTTCTATAGACGACATTTTACTAATAGTTTCTGAATTTGTTCGTTAGTAGAGTCTCACTGTTTCTTTTAATATTTTCCGGCAATATTTGTTTCTGGTCTATGCAATTCTGTCGAATATTTCATCTATTTTGGACAAACGGTTCAAAAGTTACAAGAAATACAATAAAACGCCGACCAATGGGTTGCATAGCACGAAGACAGATATAAGTCCGAAAGTTTTACTTCAAATATAGGCATGTGGGGTATCAAATGAAAGGTCTTGACGAGCACTATACAAATATCGTACTCAAAACAGATACAAATCATATATTCAATTTCAAATATCATTTTTTGTTATTTTAAAGTATACCGAGTTGCTGTAGGGTTTTAATGAATTAAAACAAAAGATAGATAATTCAATTCAAAACAACTTTGCCGAATATTCCACTTAATTTGGACTAACGGTTCAAAAGTTACAAGAGATGTAACGAAAGTGGACCAATGGGTTGCCGAATTTCGTTTAAGACATAACTTAACAAGTTTTACTTCAAATATAGGCATGTGGGGTATCAAATGAAAGGTCTCGACGAGCTCTATCCAATAACACATATTTCCTCTACCCCCAGGTACATCCGAGTATCAGCCGCCATATCGAGCTCTCAAGAACTGGAAATTCTAGTCCGTCATTTCTACTTCGAAGAGATGACAAAATCTCTAAAACAACTACTAGCGAAAAAATCAACTTCTCTCAGCGATCAACCCCAATCGAACATCCTGTCCGACCTCTCGGATGTCTTTACAATAAAATCTTTAAAATTAATGCTGCCTGATACCTGTACTGTGATGCAGGACGAGACCGTAGAGACTGAATTGAGACTGTATAGTAGATTTCCGAAGGAGATCTATGCGGATTCTGTGGCTGTTTCTTTGGAGTTTAAAAAAGGGTTGGATAACAAAAGTTGTAAGAAGAGGGAGGAGAAGCCGAAGGCGGCGGAGGAGAAGAGCAGTCGGGTTAATGGGGATGCGGAGGATGAGGAGGGCTGTGATAGTAAAGTTTTAAGGAATATGTAAGTAATTATATTATACATAGTCAGTAGAGTTCTTTTCTTTTTTTAGTGAATTTTATACACCAGATTTTTTTTTATTTTTGTGATTTATTTTTGTCTATCAGTACAGTCCTTTTGTTCTAAATATTTTATACGTCATTTTCTGCTTATCTGTACAGTCTTTGTTGTTTAGCATTTTAGTGTTAGTAGTTAGTAGAGTTCTTTTTTCTTTAGAGTTTTTGGTTTCAACATTTTTTCCATTCACTTTTGTTTTAATATGCTTGCCAGTTAATTTTGTTTAATATTTTATTTTGCTCATTAGTAGAATTTTTTTCATTATTTTTATTATTTATTTCATTATTATTTTTTTTGCTCGTCAGTAAAGTTCCTTCTTCCTTTTATTGAATTTTAGTCTTAAGTACACCTTTTATTTTTAGCAGTAGAGTTCCTTTTTCTTCTTATAGATTTTGCTTCTCAGTAGACTTTATATTTTTTGCAATTGACTTCTGCTGGTCAGTACAGTTTCTTTTATAAGGCAATGTACAAGGGTTGGCAGTTGAGTACTTTTCTCTAAATATCACATTTTTTGTTCGTCAGTCGAGTCCTTTTAACTTTTAACATTTATCGTATACGATTTTTTACGATTTTTATATTTGTTCGTCAGTAGGGTCCCTTTTTTTACTTTCCAGATCAAAATCAAATTTGCTCGTCAGTAGAGTCCCTTTTCTTAAATTCAAGTTTGATTTGCTCGTCAGTAGACTCTCTTTTTTATTTGGACAAATTAACTTAAATTAATTTTATCCAAATTAACTTTGCTCGTCGGTAGAGTCCCTTTTTCTATTATGAAATTTTACAATTTTTCTATAAATTTCCTTGTTAGTAGAATCCCTTTTTTATCATACTAATATTTTCCCGAGTTTAATTTGCTCGTCAGTAGAGTCCTTACCTTGTTATTGTATTTTGTCCACTAGTAGAGTTTTTTTCTATTTGTTGCATTTTTTGCTTGTCAGTAGAGTTCCTTTTGTCTTCATTTTATAAGACACCGTACAATTTGCTTGGCAGTAGAGTCCCTCATGGTAAATATTATTTATTTTTGTTTACCAGTAGAGTTCTTTATTTTTAATTTTTTTATATAAAATTATTATGCTTGCCAGTAGTGTCCTTTTTCCCTTAACATTTGATTTTTTTTGTATTTTAGTCAGTAGAGTCCTCTTTTATAATATTTTTAATTGTTGTATATAAAAAAACAATATGTTGCAAGTCAGTAAAGTTTCTTTTTATCTTCTAGATAAAAATTGCTCGTCAATAGAGTCCTTTTTTTTCAAATTCAGTTTTAAATTTTTTATAAAGTTTAAATTTGGTCGTCTGTAGAGTTCTTTTCCATTTCTGTCTCTACATTTTTTCTTATATTCTAAATTTAATTCGTCAGTAGAGTCCTTTTTTATTTTCTAGATTAAAATTAAGTTTGTTCGCCAGTAGAGTGCATTCTTTAGTTTTTTAGATCAAAATTAAGATTGCTCGTCAGTAGAGTCCCTTTGTCTTAACATGGTCAATTTGGTCGTCAGTAGAGTCCTTTTTTTCTTAAAAATTAAATTTGCTAGCCAGCAGACTCTCTTTTCTTCTAATTAAATAAAGTGGTCTTTAGTAGAATCCTTTCCTTCAATTTCAATTTTAATGTGCTTATCAGAAGAATCCCTGTTTAAAAAATAAATAACTTTTGCTCGTCAGTACAATCTTTTTTCATCAGTATTTATATTTGCTTGTCAGTAGAGTCCCTTTTTAATTTTTCTTTAGCTTGTTTTTTTGTCAGTAGAGTTTTTTTTGAGTATTTTTAATAGTTTTGCTTGTCAGTAGATTTTTTTTATTTAAGTTTAAGTTTAATTTGCTTGTTTTTTTTTTTCAACATTTTTTTCAAGTTTAATTCTAATTTGGCTGCCAATAGAGTCCTTTTCCTCAATTTCAATTTTAATTTGCTTGTCAGTAGAGTTTTCTTCTTCTTAAAAATTAAATTTGGTCGTCAGTTGAGTTTTTTTTGCCCTAAAATTTAATTTTGGTCGTCAATAGAGTCCTTGTTTAAACATTTTAATTTGTTCCACAGTAGAATCCTTTTCCTCAAAATTAATTTTATTTTGCTCGTCAATAGAATCCCTCTCTTCAATTTCAATTTAATTTGTTTGACAGTAGAGTCCTGTTCCTCAATTTCTATTTTATTTTGGTCGTCAATAGAGTTCTTTGTTCCTTAACCTGTAAATATGTTCGTCAGTAGAGTCCTTTGTTTCTATAATAATAATTCAGCATATTTTTCTACATTTACTCGTTAGTAGAGTCCTTTTTTTATCTAATTATTGAAATAACATATTTGTTTGAATTATCTACTGTTATATTTGTCACCACATTTTTTCTTATATTTATCTAAAGTCTAAATGTAATTCGTCAGTAGAATCCCTCTTTTATTTTCTAGATCAAAATTAAAGTTTGCTCGTCAGTAGAGTCTCTTTTCTATTTTCTAGATCAAAATTAAGGTTTGCCCGTCAGTAGAGACCCTTTTTTACTTTCTAGATAAAAATTAAGGTTTGCTCGTCAGTAAAGTCCCGTTTTTTCTATAATAATAATTTAACATATTTTTCTAAATTTGCTTGTCAGTAAAGTCCCTTTTTCTCGAAATATTTTCTTATATTTATATATAGTCTACATTTAATTTCCTCGCCAGTAGAGTCTCTTTTTTTATTTTCTAGATTAAAATTGAAGTTTGCTCGTCAGTAGAATCATTTTTATCTTTCTAGTTTTAAAATGCTTGCCAGTAGAGTCCCTTTTCTCTCTAACTATTTAACTAACATATTTTCTTATGATTATCTACTGTCTAAATTTAAATTGCTCGTCAGTAGAGTCCCTTTTTTATTTTCCTCATCAAAATTAAGTTTACTCGTCAGTGAAGTCTCTTTTTTATCATGACATTTTACAATTTTTCTCTAAATTTCCTTGTAAGTAGAGTCCCTTTTTTTAAACTAATATTTTCCCGAGTTAAATTTGCTCGTCAGTAGAGTCCTTTCCTAGTTTTTTGTCTTAAAATTTAATTTTGGTTGTTTTTTTCTCTTTGTTGATATTTTATAATATTTCTCTAAAGTTGCTCGACAGTAGAGTCCCTTTTTCCTCGAACTGTTTTACTAATATTTTTTTGAGTTTAATTTGCTCGTCAGTAGAGTCCATTTTTCTTTCACATATAAATTTGGTCGTCAGTAGAGTCAATTTCTTCTTAAAAATTAAATTTTGTTGTCAATACAGTCTTTTTTGCCTTAACCTGTAAATATGCTCGTTAATTTGGTCGTCAGTAGAGTCTTCTTTATCTTAAAATTTTATTTTATCTTCTAAATCAAATTTAAATTTAATCGTAAGTAGATTTCTTTTTGTTTTAATTTTATTATTAGTTGAGACCCTTTTGTCTTGACATTTACATTTGCTTGTCAGTAGAGTCTTTTTTATTCTTAAAGATTAAATTTGGCCGTCAGTAGAGTCATTTTTTCTAAAATAATATTTTCCAATATTTTTCTAAATTTGCTCGTCAGTAAAGTCCTTTTCCATTTCTGTCTTAACATCTTATATTTATCTAAAGTCTAAATTTAATTCGACAGTAGAGTCTTTTTCTTAATATAAAATTCTATGAATCTATCGCATCTCTTTCATTCTCTTCGTTTTCTTTATATCTTCCATCTCTTTCTTTCTGCCAATCTTACTACCATCCTCTTATCTTCCATCTCTTTCTTTCTTTCTACTTTCTCATGTCTTCCACCTCTTTCTTTCTATCAATCTTTCTATCCCCTCTTATCTTCCATCTCTTTCTTGCAACTTTTTCACATCTCCCATCACTTTCTCTCATACAACTTTCTCACACCATCTCTCTCTCTCATACAACCCCTTCTAATCTTCCATCTCTTTCAGCTTAACCGCAGACGACCTCAAACAAGAAAACATCCTGGTCGCCCGCATCAGCATCGCATCACAGCTCGATTACAGGCAGGACGGCGTCTTAGGCTCCGTAAGCGCCTCGTGCCAAAACACGCGAACTTTGAGGCGATCTAGTAGCACCAAAAACAGAAAGTCATCTGATACTACCCATCGACAGGATTTTACCATCAGTCTTACGAATAATGGACATTTGGTGGTTATACCAGGACTGAATGTGATAAAGTTGGCTATTAAGGCGACGAGGGTTGGGGTTTTTAGACTGGGGCAAGTGTCGGTGGTCGTGGGTGGTGGATTGGAGTTTTTGTCGCAGGTGCTCAAGCCTGGTTTGGAGTTTGAGGTTGTTACGGAACCGGCCAAGGCGGTGTTGGATAAGGTTGATTATCATCTGTTGGCAGGTGGGTGGTTACAGTTTTTTTTACTGGTTTTTAATTTAGTCGTCAGTAGAGTCCCAGTATCATCATTTTATTAAGTTTAATTTGTTTGTCAGTAGAGTCCCTTCTCTTTTAATATTTTAGTTTTGCTTGTCATTAGACTTTTTTATCTTTTAGATCAAAATTTAATATGGTCGTCAGTAGAGTCAATTTTTATTTTAATAATCAAAATTTAGTTTGCTCGTCAGTAGAGTTCTTTTTGTATATTCTGAAACAAAATTTAGTTCGCAGAGAGTTTTTACTTCTTAAAAATTAAATTTGGTCGTCGTAGAGTCCCTTTTTCATTTTAATAACCAAAATTCAGTTTGCTTGTCAGTAGAGTCCTTTTTTATTTTCTAGATCAAAATTTAATTTGCTCGTCAGTAGAGTCCTTTTTTGACATTTTTAATATTTTCGACAAGATCAATTTGTTCGTCAGTAGAGTTCATTGTTGTATGAACAATTTTTCCTAAAGGATTTTTTTTACAGTTTTTTAATTTGCTCGCCAGTAGAGTCCATTTTTGACATTTTAATTAATTTTGCGCGTCCGTAGAGTTTATTTTGTCTTCACGTCAGTAGAGTCTATTTTATCTTAGTATTGAAAGTTAATCGTCAGTAGATTACTTTTCTTCAAAATTAATTTTATTTTACTTGTCAGTAGAGTCTTTTCCTCTTAAAAATTAAATTTGGTCGTCAGTAGAGTCCTTTTTTTCTTTCGACATTTTTATTTGATTGTCAGCAGAGTCCCTTTCTATTTTAATAATTAAAATTGAGTTTGCTCGTCAGTAGAGTCCCTTTTTTATTTTTAAGATGAAATTTTATGTTTGCTAGTCAGTAGAGTTCTTTTTTAGTTTCCAGAGTCATTTTTGATAAGCATTTAATTTGTCCTCTCTGTAGAGTCCCTTTTTGGCATTTTTATTTGATCGTCAGTTCCTTAATATTTTAAGATTTCAGTTTTGCTCGTCAGTAGAGTCCCTTTTTAATTTTTTTGTTTGCTATTTAATTTCTTTGTTATTTTCTAGATCAAAAATAACTTTTCTCGTCAATAGAGTTCTTTATTTTATTTTTTAGATAAAATTTTAAGGTTGCTTGTCAGTAGAGTCCCTTTATCTTCAATTAAATATTTTATTCAAGTTCGTCTCTGATCTTTGCTCGCCAGTAGAATCCCTGTTTATTTTAATGATCAAATTTTAAGTTTGCTTGTCAATAGTGTCCCTCTTTTATCTTTTAGTTTACAATTTAATTTGCTCCTCAGTAGAGTTCTGTTTTATCTTCGAAATCAAATTTTAAGTTTGCCCGTCAGTAGAGTCCCTTTCACTTTTGACATTTTTAGTTGATCGTTAGTAGTGTCTCTTTTTTTTCTTAAATATTTTTTTAGTCGTCAACTTTTTCGCTAGTAGAGTCCTTTTCGTTGATACACCTTTTACTATACATCTTCTAATATTTTTCGATATCAGGTTTTACTTGCTCGTCAGTAGAGTTTTTTTCCTAAACAATAGGATCTTTTCAGACGTGTACTGACGCTCGTCAGTAGAGTTTCTTCTCTCTTCTTATCGTTTTAGTTTAGTCTTTATGAATCAATTGATATTTCTTTTAGGGTTTCCGCAAAGGATGGTCCTCACAGTAAACAGTGGCAGTTTCAGAATCGCCGAAAACAGTTTCATAACCATGAAAATGTCAAAAGGGCTACTGATGAAATGCGAAGGTTCTGAGGAGGATTTTGCAAGAGAATTCAAGATTCCCTTAGAAATCAGCGAGCCCTTTCAGAGCACCAAAGTCGATCTTTTGGTTTTGGCTGAGCTGCCACCGAGGAAAGACGATCGATCTGTGGAACACAAGGTAAGGGTAAATGTTACAAAAAGTTTTGCTTCAAATATAGGCATGTTGGGTATCAAATGAAAGGTCTCGACGAGCACTATCCGAATCTCTATAAATTGTTTTATATTATTAAATATTATTATATTATAAAGACAATGTACAGAAAAAGGGACTCTACTGACAAGCAAATTATTTTATATTATTGAATATTGTTATATTATGAAGACTATGTACAGCAAAAGGGACTCTATTGACGAGCAAATTTCTTTCTATTATTATTTTGTTATATTGTGAAGACAGTGTACAAAAAAGGGACTCTACTGACGAGCAAACTAAATTAAGAAATGATAAATAAAAAAGAACTCTACTGAAAAGCATACAGAATTTAAAAAAAAATAAAAAAGAACTATACAAACGAACTAAATTTCGACTCTACAAAAAAGAGACTTTTCTGAAGAGCAAGCTATAAAAAAAATAAAAAAGGAACTCTACTGACAAGCAAACCTTTGATAAAAAGAGACTCTATTGACGAATGGAGCGACTTAAAATGGACTCTACCGACGCTCAAACTAAATTAAAAAATGCAAAAGAACTATACTGACGAGCAAATTAATTTGTGATTTAAAGAAAAGAAAAGCAACACAACTAACGAGCAATTAATAAATCAACTGACATTAAAAAAGGACTCTGCTGACGAGCAAATTGATTATCAAACTTTAGAATTTAAAAAGAGACTCTACCGACGAGCAAAGTATTATAGATCAACTTAAAAAAGGACTCTACTGACAAGCAAATGATAAAATCTACTCGGAAGTTTTAAAAGGGACTCTACTGACAAGCAAATGATAAATCAACTCAGAAATTATAAAAAAGGGCTCTACTGACGAGCAAATTGCTTATCGGACTATCTAGTAAAAGGACTCTACTGACAAGCAAATAATAAATCAACTCAGAAATTAAAAAAAGGACTCTACTGACGAGCAAACTGAATATCGAACTGGATATAGACATACCATACACCAACTTGGTATACTTTAAAATAACAAAAACTGATATCAATAAGTAGATAAATTAAGTGTATTGAACCCTATTGGTCTGGTGTGTCTGCTAGTTTCATATTAGTATAGTGCGTCGAGACCTTTCATTTGATACCTCACATGCCTATATTTGAAGTAAAACTTCTAGACTCACATTTGACCCGCTGTACTATTTATAGTACGACCACTCGTCAGTGTGCATTTATTCATTTAAACGCATGTAACTTCTAAACCACTGCACCAGAATAAATGAAATATTCGACAAATTTGTTCTAAATTAAATTATCTTTAATTGTACTTAGTATCAATTTTTAAATCAACTCGCTATACTTTAAAATTATATATGTAAGTGTACAGAACCCTATTGCTTTATTTTGGACGTTACTGGTATATTTCGATAGTGCTCATCGAGGCCTTTCATTTGATACCCAACATGCCTATATTTGAAGTAAAACTTCTTAACTCATACTTGACCCGCTGTACTATTTACAGTAGAACAAAACGTCCGTGTGCATTTATATATTAAAACGTTTGTAACTTTTGAATAAATTGTTTGTCGCAAATAAAACATCTAACAAAAATGTTCTAAATTAATATCAATCCTTAAATCAACTCGGTATACTTTAAAATTGCAATAGAAACCTTCAAATTAGTTTAGAATATTGGATATATGGAATGATACGGAACCTTGTTAGTCAAATTTCAACACTGATATATTTGAATAAAGCTCATCGAGACCTTTTATTTGATACCCCACATGCCTATATTTGAAGTAAAACTTTTTAACTCATCTTTGACCCCAAATTCGGCAACCCATTGGTTTACTTTTCATTATATCTCTCGTAACTTTTGAACCGTTTGTCCGATTTGGATGAAATATTCGACAAAGTTGTGTTAAATGAAGCGATCTATGATGTGCTTTAATATAGTCACACCATGCACCAACTTGGCATACTTCAAAATAATAAAAACTGATTTTATTAAGTAGATAAATTAAGTGTATTGAACCCTATTCGTCTGGTGTGTCTGCTAATTTGATATTTGTTTAGTGCTCGTCGAGACCTTTCATTTGATACCCCACATGCCTATATTTGAAGCAAAACTTTTTAACTCATACTTAACCTCGAATTCGGCAACCCATTGGTCCACTCTCGTTACACCTCTTGTAACTTTTGAACCGTACGTCCGATTTGAATGAAACATTCGACAAATTTGTACAAAATTAAACAATCTACAACATTGTCTTTTACCATTTCTCTACTCTACTCTACTAACGAAACATTTCTAGGTTTCGATGTTATGTCCTTGGTCCAGGAAAGAAACAACAGTGCCCCTCCACTTCCCGCCGCCCTTCCTGAGCGTCTGCAGGCTGCACACGTCGCAGGCCAGAAAATTCGTCCAGGTGTCGGTTCGGGGTCTTCACGATCAGAAAGTGGCCCTTAAGAGGCCACAACTGGAGTGCAAAGTAGATGGACTGCTTTTGAGGGATTTGAATCCGGGGGCTGATCAGATACTGGTGAGGAAATATTTATTAACTTCCCGTAGGGCAAGTTATGGTAATCGCAAAAAAATCGAAAATGAAAATTTTTACATAGCTTTACGTTTCAAAACCTTCTGAACATTTTGGCATACCATAGAAAAAATGGATGCATGTGTGTGTGTGTGCCCCACTAGTTTGATTATAATTAAAAGATTTTTCGTAGTGTTGACGAAACTTTTTTTGTAATTGACTGTTGATTGTAAAGAAACTGCTAAACCGAGCTTTGTGCAAAACTTGTCAACCGTAGTCCTTATCGAGCCTTATTGAACGCCCTTTAAATTTTTAAAATTAGTACAGCCGTTTTGCAGAAATCGTGATTAACTGTTTGTCACATATATATGATTGCTATAAAGAGACGGTTCGGACGATCTTTGTGTAAAACTTGTCAACACTAGTTCTTATGTTATCGAACGTCTTTTAAATTTTCAAAATCGGTACAGCCGTTTTGAAGTAATCGTGATCAATAGTTTGTCACCCACCTACTTTATCCAAATTCTGTGCCAAGCGATCCAGAAAAAACCTAAAAATCACAAAATTAAGCCCTATTTTCTTCATCCAAACATTTTGCTGAATTATTGTCAAAAAGCAGTAGAGTTCTTTTCATTAGTGAGACTTTTGTAACATAGCAATTCACTAAACAACTATTCGCTTGTCAGTAGAGTCTCTTTTACTTTATTAACATTTTCTGCTTTCTGGTTCCAGTTTTGCTCGGCAGTAAAATTCTTTTTCTATAAAAATGTGTCTTATATTTTTTTAAGTATTGTTTGCTCGTCAGTAGAGTCCCTTTTCACGAAAACTATTTTCATTTGCTCGTCAGTAGAGTCCCTTTTCACAATAATATTTTTATCTGCTCGTCAGTAGAGTCCCTTCTGTCACAATTCTTTTGGATCAACTTTGCTCGTCAGTAGAGTTCTTTTTTCCTTTTATTTTTAGTTTGTTCGCCAGTAGAGTCCCTTTTCAAACATTTTTATTTTCTCATCAGTAGAGTCCCTTTTGCAATAACAATTTTATTTGATTGTCAGTAGAGTCCTTTATTTCAATAATAAGATCTTAATTTGCTCGTCAATAGAGTCCTTTTTCATCTTCTAGATCAAAATTAAATTTGCTCGTCAGTAGAGTCCTTTTTTTGTTTTTGACCATTATTTTAGAATATCTAAAAGGGACTCTACCGACAATAATATTTTTCTTGTAAAAAAGGACTCTACTGACGACCAAATAAAATTGTTTTAAAAAGGAACTCTACCAATGAGCAAATTAAAATTCAATTTATTATTATATATATAATAGATAATATAAGAACTCTACTGACGAGCAAATTAAAATCTTAGCCTCATTGCTAATATAATTACCTGTCTTTTTTTAGCTCATCAGTACAGTCCTTTTTTAAATTTTGTTCTTCCTTTTAATATATTTTGCTCGTCTTTTTTATTTTCCATAAAATATTTTTATAATTTTTGATTAAAAATTTTGTGAAAACTATTGAAAAATGTGAAAATGCCGCCAAGCTAAGCACAGTATAAGTGATGAATGTCGCACAGAATTATTTGCAAATTTAGTTTAGACTGTGACAGAGCACTTTTTCATTTTTGTGTAATTTGCTCAAATATAACAAGATAGCAATAATATGAATGAAAGTTACAGAGTATTTGTAATAATATATTTGAAAACGTTTAAAATTTCTCGAACATATTTCATTGCGGTACGGTAAGTTCCAGCAATTTGCCTTAAGGCACGATTCCGTACACCACTAGTCAAGTTTAAGTTGCTTGTCAGTAGAGTTCGTTTTGACACGATTTTTATTATAAATTTTGCTCCTCTGTAGAGTATTTTCCTCATTCATTTTTAGTTTGCTCGTCAGTAGAGTCCTTTCTGACACGATTTTTTTGTATAATTTTGCACGTCAGCAAAGTTTTTATCCTTTTGTTTTTAGTTTGCTCGTCAGTAGAGTCCCTTTTGACTCGACTTTATTAATGAATTTTGTTCGTCAGTAGAGTTCATGTTTCTTTCAATTTTTAGTTTGCTTGTCAGTAGAGTTCCTTTTGGCACGATTTTTTTTTCATAAATTTTGCTCGTCAGTAGAGTTCTTTTTTCCAACATTTTTTTTGATTTGCTCATCAGTAGAGTCCCTTTTGTCTCGATTTTTTTTTAAATTTTTCGGTCAGTTTAGTTCTTTTTTCTTTTCTGTTTCTATTTCTAATTTGCTTGTCAGTAGAGTCCTTTTTGTCACGTTTCTTTTTTTATAAATTTTGCTTGTCAATAGAGTTCTTTTTCTTTCTATTTTTAGTTTGCTCGTCCCTTTTTCATGATTTTTTTTCATTAATTTTGCTCGCCAGTAGAGTCCCTTTTGTCACGATTTTTTTTTGTAAATTTTGCTTGTCAGTATAGTTGCTTTTTCTGTTATTACAGTTTGCTCATCAGTAGAGTCCTTTTTTCACGATTTTTTTGTATAAATTTTGCTCGTCAGTAGAGTTTTTTTGTTTTCAACTTTCAATTTTCTCGTCAGTAGAGTCTCATTTGTTATGATTTTTTGTATCAATTGTGCTCGTCAGTAGAGTTCTTTTTTTCTTTTGTTTTTAGTTTGCTCGTCAGTAGAGTCCCTTTTCACACGACTTTTTGAATCAATTTTGCTCGTCAGTAGAGTTCTTTTTAATTTATTAAGTTATTAAGAACCCGTTTTCAAATGTTAGTCTCGCTCATTTATCTTATACAAATACGACGATAATAAAGAAACGGCTGGACTGATCTTTGCGCAAAACTTGTCAATACTAGTTTTTATGCAATTTAACTTGACTTTTAAATTTTGGGAATCGGAACAGCCGTTTTGCGCAAATCGTGGTCACCCATCCAAATTCGGTGCCAAACGATTCAGAATGACTCCACAAAATTAACTCTTGTTTCTTTACCCAGACGATAACCAACGGAATAACAGCCTCCTTCATGTGGGAACTGGAAATCGAACCACTCCAAAAGCACCAGACCAACATCAAAATGGACTTTAGCATCCTGTACGCACCAGTAGAATCCCTTTTACCATCACCATCAAACCCTTCCCTTAATACTCACGACCCCAACACCTCACCCTTCACCCAATACACATGTCCCTTCGACCTTAAGGACTACACAACCCTCTATATGGTCAAATGCAAAGTGGAACCAAGTGTCGGCAGCGAATTCTGTCGAACCAGGAGCATGTGCCATCTGCAACTCTCGGTTGCAAGGTTGCCAGGTTGCGAAAAGGATGCGACGGCGTCTGTTATGTATGAAGTTTTGGCGGATCAGACTATGTGGGCGGTTTGTGGACGGACAGCAGGTGAGGGTAGATAGATTTAGTGGTATTTTTGATTTGGTTGTTAGTAGAGTCCCTTTTTGATTCGAAATTTGGCAAAAAAGTACAGCGGGTTAAATTTGAGTTAATAAGTTTTACTTCAAATATAGGCTTGTTGGGTGTCAAATGAAAGGTCTCGACGAGCACTATACAAATATCATACTTACAAACTCAATAAACCTACAGGGTTCCGTACACATAATTTATGCACTCTTAAATATCAATTTTTGCAATTTGAAAGATTTCTAAGTTTTTATATTTTATTTTCTAAATCAAAATTCTGTTTGCTTGTCAGTAGAGTCCTTTTTTATCTTAATGTTCAGAATTAACTTTGTTAGTCAGTAGAGTCCCTTTTTTATCTTTGAGATTAAAATTCTATTTGCCTGTCAGTAGAGTCCTTCTTTATACTAATAATCTAATTGAAGTTTGCTCGTCAGTACAGTCTTTTTCTATTTAAATTGATCAATTATTATTTTTACAATGTTAATTTGCTTGGCAGTACAGTTGTTTTACTATTTTAATTTGCTCGTCAGTAGAGTCCATTTTTACAATGACAATGTTAGTTGCTCGTATCAGCATTTTTTATTAATATTCTTTTCTATTTAATTGCTCGTCAGTAGAGTCCCTTTTTTGAAATATTAAGCTTCCTATTTAGTAGCGTCCTTTTCAAAAACTACTGAATAAAATTTTTGGTTTGCTCGTCAGTAGAGTTTCTTTTTTATCTTAATAATCAAAATTAAGTTTGCTCGTCAGTAGAGTCATTTTTCCAAATACTGAATCAAATCTTTGGTTTGCTCGTCAGTAGAGTTCCTTTCTTATCCTAAGGATCAAAATTAAGTTTGCTCGTCAGTAGAGTCCTTTTTTTTAGTTTTTTTTTTGAAATTAATATTGTTTATGTTTTTAACTTGCTCGTCAGTAAAGTCCTTCAGTCTTAATATTGTATTAGAAGTTTTTGAAAAGGACTCTACTAAATAGGAAGCTTAATATTTCCAAAAAGGGACTCTACTGACAAGCGATTAAATAGAAAAGAATATTAATAAGAAAATGCTGATACGAGCAAATAACATTGTCATTGTAAAAAGGGACTCTACTGACGAGCAAATTAAAATGGTAAAACAACTCTACTAACAAGCAAATTAACATTGTAAAAATAATAATTGATCAATTTAAATAGAAAAGGACTCTACTGACGAGCAAACTGGATTTTGATCATCAAAGTAAAAAAGACTCTACTGACAAGCAAATTGAATTTTGATTATTAAAGTAAAAATGACGACCCTACTGACAAGCAAACTTAAGTTTGATTATCAAAATAAAAAAGGGACTCTACTGACGAGCAAATGGAAATTAAATTATCAAAATTATTGGCCTGCAACAATAAAGGACTGTACTTGTGTAAATAAAAGAAAAAAAACTCTATGACAAAAATTAAAAAAGTTAGTACAACGGGTCAAATTTGAGTTAAGAAGTTTTACTTCAATTATAGGCATGTTGGGTATCAAATGAAAGGCCTCGACGAGCTCTATCCATATATCATAGTAACTTTCTCAACAGACCAATATAGTTACAACTACATATAGAACGAGTTGCTGTACGGTCTTACAATATTAAACAGTCTTATAAACAATTAAATTTAACGCAACTTTGTCAAACGTTGCATTCAAATCGGACAAACGGTTTAAAAGTTACAAGAGACGTAACAGAAGCTGACCATTGAGTTGCATATCACGAAAACAGACATAAGTCGGAAAGTTTTACTTCAAATGTAGGCATGTTGGGTATCAAATGAAAGGTCTCGACGTGCACTATCCGAATATTATAGTAACAAACTCGACAAACGTCACAATGTCTAGTATATATATATTTGTTTTTTTTTTTTAGGTGTAATAACAGTGGACAATTGTAAAGAACAAACAGTAACTTTAGAAGTCATCCCTTTGACCGCAGGTTTTCTACCACTGCCCTTAGTGCGATTATCAAAGTACATCACGGCCGATCAGAGGTCTGGAGATAAAACAGGTAACTTTAACGTAACAGTAACGTCACAATATGTTACGTTACAAATACTGAGGACACTTTTTTATATTTTGCTTTGTAGTGCTGTTATTTGTTTTAACTGATATATAGTGTTATATATCAAATGAAAGGTAATAAAATTATCTACTAATCTGCATATAACAATTTTAAACCTTTGGAACAAAATATTATTTAAAAAATTGTTAAAATTTTAATTTTTTTATACTGTGATTTTTGTGAACTAACATGTCAAGTTTTCTTTTCAAGGTTACATTTTTCTATATTTTGATCGTGTTTGTAAATAGTTTGTTCAAATATGTATATATTATTATATATCATTACAAAACTAATAAAATTGTTTATAAATCTGTATATAACGTTACAAACAAAATTAATTAGGAAAAATGAGTAAAGTTTAATTTTTTTTATCTTGTTATTTGTTCAGCTATGCAATACGTACTGAGAATATTTAATTCCTGAATTTTTTATTAATAATTTTATTCCAACACTTACAAATCTAAAAATGCATATTTGTAAACAATTTAATAAGCTTTGCACTGATATATAATAGTGCATTGAAATTTGAACAAATTCTTTAATAAATAATGCGAATTTAAAAAAAGTGTGACCGAACAACGAAATTTTTTTTATATTAAATTGCAAAGCTTGAGTTATTTTTGACAAAAATTTTGTTCTAAAAGTTTTAAAACTATAAATACAGATTTGTACACAATTTAATAAGGTTTTTAAAGATATATAGCATTATATAATATAATGATACAAAATTTTATAAACATTTATAATTTAGTATCTAATTATCAGGTAATGGTGGATTTCATTGGTTACATTTTTTATATTTGCGTTTATATTGTTTAAAATTGTTCTAAGGCATATATATTATTATACATCATTAGAAAGAAATTAAAATTATCTATAAATCTGCATATAACAATTTATAACTTTTAGAACAAATTTAAATTTTAAAAAATGTTTAAACTTTATAGTTAAATACAAAGTTCATTTTTGTGAACTAGTATGTCTGTCGGTTACATTTTTATATTTCGACAAATTTTGTTAATAATTTGTTTAAACATGTATATATTATTATATATCATTAAAAAGCTAAAATTATCTACAAATCTGTATATAACAACTTATAACTTTTAGAACAAAATTCTATTTAAAAAAATGTTTAAACTTTATAATTGAATACGAAACCGAGTTGAAACTAAATTACTGCACGTAAACGTTGGACAAAATACTTCGAGTGTGAAGTTCGCGCGTTTGAAGTAACCGTTAAGATTTAAAATTCAAATTTCAAATATATTTGAAATAATTATTCAAAGTTTTTTGTTGCTCAAAGAGTTGATTTTTCATTCGGTTTCATTTTTTAACAAACTTTTATAGAAAAAACAGTCAAACATTAAATTCGCTAAATTTAAAATATGTAATCTGATTTATTTGATAAAATTATTCAAACATTTGTATTTTTCCAAGTTATAGAAATAGATTATTATGGTAAACTTGTTCGTAATTTTATGCACTTCAAAAATAATTGATAGTTTAATTAAATTGATAGTTGCACGAAATTTAAGTTTGTGAAACTCTAATTAATTATTGCACGGGATTTAGCATTATTCTGTTTAGATTCATTTAGATTTTTATATATCATTAGATGACCCGACAGACTTTGTTCTGTGCCCATGTCTACAATTTTTTAATATAATATACTAATATTTACCGTTTACCTAAAAATAATAATTATTGGTTTTTAAATTATTCTTCACGCCAAAATGCATATACATTTATAATATGAGCGATTTTAAATGTAGAACTGCTTTAAACAATGACAAGTCGTTTTTTGCATTTTTTTCTATTTCCCACATATCAGTACTTTATAATCACATACATATTAGAAAATTTCCTTAACAAACTCCAGAAAGATTTATCAAAATCCGAATAATTGTTTAGGAGGAGTACTTTATATAATAGCAATAAAGCTCACATTGATTCTACGTTTTAGTTAAAAAACGTTTGTATGTGAAAGAGAAAAGGGCTGTTTTTAGGGTTTTCCCGGCAATTATTCGTTTTTTTCTCGCCGTAAGAACCATCCTTGGACTTCAACGAACATTTTAAAAAAAGAATTGGCCAAATCGGTCCAGGCGTTGTTGAGTTATGCGCTTACTAACACATTTTGCGATTCATTTTTATATATAAGATGATATATCGTTGAAAAATAGATAAAATTATCTACAAATCTGTATATAACAATACATAACTTTTAGAACAAAATTGAATTTAAAAAAAATGTTTAAACTTTAGAATTGAACACTGAGTCGTGCGACGCCATTTTGGTAAACCAATATGTCGGCCGGTTGAATTTCGACAAATTTCTTTAACAATTTGTTCCAACATGTATATAGTATTATATATCATTAGAAAGCTAATAAAATTATCTACAAATCTGTATATAACACTTTATAACTTTTAGAACAAAATTGTCTAGAAAAATGTTACTAAACTTTGAATATGTTCTTTTTATGGATAGGGATTCCATTTCCCACTGTATGTATCTAGCTTTATCTCTTTCTCTTTCTAACTCACACAATTCGTATCTCTCCATCTCTCTCTTTTGCTTTTATACAGAGAAATCTGATTTTTGTGCTTTAATAATTTTCTTTGCATTATTTAAGTTTCAATGCTTTTGTTTATATTTATATTTATTTAGTGCAAATTTAATTAAATAAATTATTACTATTATATATCATTAGAAAGCTAATAAAATTATCTGCAAATCTGTATATAACACTTTATAACTCTTAGAACAAAATTATATTAAAAAAATGTTTAAACTTTATTTTTCCTTTTTTTAGATAACAGAAAGTCAGATCCGAATCATTCTCATCCTAAACTCGAACCATTTGCACCAGGACAGGTTTATAACTTTAGTAAGGCTCAGCAGGTTCACGTCTTGGGTAACAATCCTGAAGGAAACTGACAGTGTAAATAAATAAATAATATATAAATAAATATTTATATATATAGGAATATATTAATTGTTTATATTGTATCCGATATATATGTATATATATATATATATATATATATATATATATATATATATACACGTTTCGGCTACAATCCCAGACACAAATATCCTTCAATACAATTTTATAAGTACAAAATTAAACATCAAAAAACACTTACAAATTGCTTTTCCTAATATTAATAACAAAAATACTCAAAAATTCTTCTATTTTTATGTAAAACATCAACAATTTTATTATCATTAATTATATAATCTATTTTATGCAATTATTTACGGCCGCACCGTTTGTATTACTCCTTTAAAAAATACAAAAACCCTAAAGTTTGTTTACAAAATATACACCGACGCCTGCACTATTCCGCTTAACTGAATTTTGGTACATTTGCAATTAGTGTGGATGCAAAGAAAACAATTTTGGAGTTTGAGTAATTTTTAAAAATATGTAGCATGTAACTAGTGTGCTGTAATTTGAGTATGTCGGTGTTCAGTGTGTATACTATGATCACAAATACTAAAATTGATGAGTCGTTTTGGAAAATTTTGAGATATTAGTGGTTTTGTGAAAAAAGTACCCAAAATGTATTTGAGGTGTTTAGGTAATTTTTATAATTATACTGTTTGTACTAGAATGCTGTAATTTGAGTATGTTGGTCTTTAATGTATATACTATGTTGTAAAATACTGAAATTTAAAAGATTTCTAACAAAATATACACCAGATGCCGTATTACTGTCTAAGAGTGCATATATTAGTGAAGAATTTTAGATTAAAATTTAAAGTTTGATGAATTTTTAAAATTATTTAAAACACAGCTAGAGTGCTGTAATTTGAGTATTTTTATTTTCAATACATATACTATGATGACAAATACTAAAATTAGTGAGTCTTCATGGAAAATTTTGAGATATTAACGGTTTTGTGAAAAAAGTACCCAGAATGTATTTGAAATGTTAAGGTAATTTTTAAAATTATACCGTTTGTACTAGAGTGCTGTAATTTGAGTATGTTACTCTCCAATGCATATACTATTATGTAATATACTAAAATCTATAAGTTTTCTAACAAAATTTTCTATAAATAACATAAATCTGTACAAGTGTCACTGGCGCTTGCACTATTCCCACGTACGAAGAATACGATTTGTTTTTTGAGTAATTTTTAAAATTATATGGTTTATAGCTAAAGTGCTGTAATTTGGGTATGTTACTCTCCAATGCATATACTTTGATAACAAATACTAAAATTGATAACTCTTCTTGGAAAGTATTAATTTATTAATAATTATCCAAACGTCTGCACTATTATAAATGAAATAGAAAGACATTTGAAATTAGTAAAAAATTAAAGAATGTAATCTATTTTTGATTAATTTTAAAAATTACACTTCTTGTACTAGAATGCTGTAATTTGAGTATTTTGGTCTTCAATGCATATACTATGACAACAAATACTGAAATTGATAAGTTGTCTCACAAAATTTTAAATTAATAATAACAATGTCAACAAGGAACAATAATAATGTGATAAAAGTACTTAACGAATTTCATTGACATTTATTCAGAAATTTTTGATTTTACATAACATTTTGTTACAAAACTTATCAATTTTAGTATTTGTTGTCATAGTATATGCATTGGGAAAGTAACATACTCAAATTACAGTATCCTTGTACAAATGATATAATTATAATAAAAATTCAAACTTGCAAAACAATTCTGGTAAATATATAAGAACACTTACGAACATTGTTTAAGAAAATTATTTTTATTAATTATATTTTGTTAAGAAACTTATCAATTTTAAAAGTGTTATCATAGTATATGCATTGAAGAGTAACATACTCAAATTACAACATTCTAGTACAAATAGTGTAATTTTAAAAATTAGTCAAAGTTTAAATTGTATTTTTCGTTTCCTGTGAGAGTAGTGGAGGAGTCGTTGACGATTGTGGCGAAAATTATTATTTTTGAGAAATTTTGAAAGAAGAGTTATCAGTTTCAGTATTTGTATTCATATTATATATGTTGGAGAGTAACATACTCAAATTACAGCATTATAGAATAAAAAGTGTAATTTTAAAAATTAGTCAAAGTACAAAATGTTTTCTTTGTTTGTATTAATAACTTGTTAAGGGTACTTTGTTGACGTTATTAATAAAATTACAAAAGTTTCTGAGAAAACTCATCAATTTTAAAACTTATCATCATAGTATATGCATTGAAGAGTAACATACTCAAATTTCAGCATTCTAGTACAAACGGTATAATTATGAAAATTACTCAAAAGTAAGATTGTTTTTATTTAGTACGAATTCTATGGGAGTAGTGCGGGCGCCAGTGACGTATTTATGCACTTTACAAGATATTTTGCTAGAAAACACATCAATTTTAGTATTTGACATCATAGTATATACATTGTAGAGTAACATACTCAAATTACAGCACTCTAGGTACAATGGTATAATTTTAAATATTACCTCAACATCTCAGATACATTTTGGATACTTTTTCCACAAAATCGTTAATATCTCAAAATTTTCCAAAATACCCCATCAATTTTAGTATTTGTCTTCATAGTATACACCCTGAACACCGACATACTCAAATTACAGCACCCTAGCTACATGCTTTATATTTTTAAAAATTACTCAAACTTCAAATTGTTTTCTTTGCATCCACACTAATTGCAAATGTACCAAAATTCAGTTAATCAGAATAGTGTGGGCGTCGGTGTATATTTTGTAAACAAACTTTACGGTTTTTTGTATTTTTTATAGGAGTAATACAAACGGTACGGCCTAAAATAATTGCACGAACTAGATTATATAATTAATAATAAGAAAATTGTTGATGTTTTATACAAAATTGCAACAATTTTTGTGTATTTTTATTATTAATATTAGGAAAAGCATTTTGTAAGTGCTTTTGATGTTTAATTTTGTATTTATAAAAATGTATTGATGGATATTTGTGTCTGGGATTGTAGCCGATATATATATATATATATATATATATATATATATATATATATATATATAGAATTATGTAGTTAAAAATGACATGGAGATTATTATTTATAAGGCCATGTACATACAATTATCTTTAAAAGATTAAATTTAAGGTAACAAAAAAATCTTGACGTCCCTCTTATATATAAATATATATATATATATATATATATATATATATATATATATATATATATATATATATATATATATATATATATATTATTAATTAAAAAGTAGCCTTTAGTGTCCAAAATAATTAAATATAAAAAATAGTCTTTGTATATAATTATTTATAAAAAAAAGGTACTCAGTTTTAGTTATAAACTATTTTTGTTCAAACTCATACTAGCCTCATATTGGAGAACATTTGTATTATATTTCAATTTTAAAGCATACCGAGTTGCTGTAGGGCTTTATGGTATAAGACAATATTGTAGATAATTTAATTCTAAACAAATTTCTCATACACACCATTCATATCAATCGAATGGTTTAGAAGTTACAAGCGACGAAACAAAACAATATCAATATTAAATATACAACTTTGCTTCCGCCGGTTTTTATAAGGCGAGTTCTCCAAAATAATGGCGGAAGCAAAGTTGTACACGCGATATGTTTTTAAAAGAGTTTTAAGAGTATACCGAGTTGCTGTAGAGCATTGGGGTAAAAGACAATATTGTAGATTGTTTAATTTTGCATAAATTTGTCGAAGACATCATTCATATCAATCGAATGGTTTAGAAGTTACATGAGTTTAAACAAAAAAAGTGCACTCGGTATACTGCGTTCCAATGCAAGATGTCATCGTGCGCAATATGTATGAAATCTTAGAAAATGTTGAAGTTTGTATGGAAACTAGTGTAGTTTTGTACTTTGGGTTATTTGCGTCGATTTAAGTGCTATTTTAAAGTATACCTAGTTGCTGTAGGGTTTTGTGGTACAAGACAATATTGTTGATAATTTAATTTTGAACAAATTTGTCGAATGTTGCATTCAGTTTGGACAAACCCTTTAAAAGTTACAAGAGTTTTAATAAATAAATGCACGCAAACTAGTTGCCGTACTATAAATAGTACAGCGGGTCAAAAGGGAGTTAAAAAGTTTTACTTCAAATATAGGCTTGTTGGGTGTCAAATGAAAGGTCTCGACGAACACTACTCAAATATCGTATTTAAAGCCTTTGTAATCTAATAGGGTTCCGTACACTTACATATATCCAATATTCAGACCTCATATTTTTGGTTTCTATTGCAATTTTAAAGTATACCGAGTTGATTTTAGCGTTTATATTAAGTACGCGGTTAGGCAATTTAATTTAGAACATTTTTGCCGAATATTTTATTTGCATCAAACAATTTGTTTAGAAGTTATGACCGATTTAATAAATAAATGCATAACTATGAGTGGTCGTACAATAAATAGTTTCAGCGGGTCAAAAGCGAGTTATGAAGTTTTACTTCAAATATAGGCTTGTTGGGTATCAAATAAAAGGTCTCGACGAGCACTATACAAATATCTTAGTAGCAGAGTCAACAAATCAATAGGATGCTGTATATTATAATTATCAAGAATCTAGTATTAATTCTTTTGTTTCCAATGACGTTTTAATGTATACCGAGTTGCTATATGGCTACAGAATATTAGACAGTATTATACATCATGCAATTTTGAAAAGATTTGCCGAATATTTGGCTTGTCTACGACAAATAGTTCAAAAGTTACAAGCAAAAGATTAAGTAATTATACAAACAAGTTGCAGAACTATAAATAGTTCAGCGGGTCAAATGTGAGTTAAAAAGTTTTACTTCAAATATAGACATGTTGGGTACCTAATGAAAGGTCTCAACGAGCACTTTACAAATATCATACTTATAAACTCAACAAACCTACAGGGTTCCGTACATATAATTTATTCACTTTTTGATATCATTTTTTGCAATTTTTAAGAATTCTAAG